ACAGGCTAAATAGAGCCACACAGGCTAAATAGTGCCACACAGGCTAAATAGAGCCACACGGGCTAAATAGAGCCACACAGGGTAAGTAGTGCCACACAGGCTAAGTAGTGCCACACATGCTAAATAGAGCCACACAGGCTAAAAAATGCCACACAGGCTAAATAGTGCCACATAGGATAAATATAGTACCACACAGGCTAAATAGTGCCACACAGGCTAAATGATACCACACAGGCTAAATAATGCCTCACAGGCTAAATAGTGCCACACAGGCTAAATAGTGCCACACAGGCTAAAAAGTGCCACAAAGGCTATATAGTACCACACAGGCTAAATAAATAATGCCACACAGACGGAAAGCTGGGATGTGCATAGTGAATGTTTATTATTGATGATTCAACAGTACTGTAATAGATCCAGGGGTGGCATTGTCGGGCGGCACTCGCCTCCTATTTTATTGATGGAGAACATTTTCATTTGTTATAACAACAAACTTTCTTTGCGTTCAACTGCAGAATATTTTGACATTTTCAAAGAGAATTTCTCACAAAGATACGTCCCGTTTCTTCCAGTGGGTCACCCCAACGTGGCAACAAATGCGTTGCAACAGCCGCTCTTTCTTGTGAATGGATGATCCTTCACTTGCCGAAAAATACAAGGAGGAAAATAGTGAATTGAACTCAAAAGAAACGAACAGTTTCTAGTTACTGGAATTTCAACAACAGAAAATGACATCCAGAGTGCAGTGGATGTCAGATCAGTCATACTCGACGCAAAAGGCTCATAGCCCATTCAGTTTCCCCTACGGTAACCCATGTTACATTTAATTTTGATCTGACTGAAACTTGATGTTGTCATTTCAGAGAATCCGTGCCTCATTGGCCATAAGGTTGATATCGGAATTTGGAGTTACAAAAATGGCACCGCAAAAAGTCACCGTTAAATATTCAAATATGTCCCTTTCCGATCTCAAAAGGATTCTGCCAAAATGTTCCTGTTATTTCTCAAAAGTTTCATAAAATTAAATACGAGTACTGACAACTGCGTATTTCCCTAGTTTGCTGTACATGAAAACGGCATAATGGATATCGTAAGTTGCTTCTGTACGGTACCAAAATGGGTCCTTCACATTATCGGAACACATCAATTTAGCACAGTTAAAGGCAGCAATGCCATGGTGTGTCGTCTTGTTTACATATATACATTTGTCTATACTTAGCAGTCGGCTGTCATTTTTGTTTTCCACAACCAACGCCTGAAAGCACGCGATAAACGGCCAGGTGGACGTAATGTTGGGTCTATGCGCGCAGTCTGCGCTCCAGCTAAATATGACAACATTGACCATGCAGGAGAGTGGAGCTAGGGGCTGGAGGGCGTATGGCTATTGCCAAGTGTCCCAACAATTTTGTCCCGGCTAGTAAAAAAATCCTTGAAGCCATCGAGGTATTCCAGCATGACACAGTCCAGCAAGACGTAGGATTCAAGCTCAGCGACATCTGAAATCCGCTCTCCAAACTAAGACCATCCTCCCTCCTGGGCATTAACCCACCCCTATGGCAACAATTAAGGTCCTCTATACCTGAGCCACCAACCCTGGTATTAGGGTCTCGTCTATGCCTGACCCCCTCCACCTCCACGGTCTATCACTCCTTGTGGACGACCACAGCACACACAGGTCAAAACGTGGAGTTCACACTTACACTCAACGGTTCTTATCAGAGCCATACCTCTCCCAAAAGAGATCTATCCACATGGTGTTACCGCAAGCCCCCTCATCAGCTATTACTTTTCTGCAATCAATTACAGGAGTTTTTGAGTAAAATTATTTGAGTATGTGTGGCTTGGTGATATAAATTAACGAGGATGCTTCCCATGAACTCAGCCCTGTGCAGTGAAGCAAATTCTTGTTCCCGATACTTTTCCATTAACCTTCCTCCGTATTTTGCCAACCTCTGAAAGGACGAAGTCCCCCTTCTTCATTGCCAGCAACGTCTTGAATTGTGGATCTTATCAACGAAATTTGCGGTAGGTATCCTGTATTTTCACTCGTGGGAGAGAACTCAAATTATCAGACAAGAGATGGTTGACTTTCAACAATCGGCAGTTTTTTTCACAAATTCTTGAATTAGTAGAAGATGATTTTTTCGGCCTTATGTTATTTACTCCAATAAATGTTGGTGGTTTCAGACAGGCAATTGGAACTTAAATCATACGAAAAGATCCTGCCAGAATTTGTCTTTCCTGTTTTAGGAGTAATTGGCGTAAACCAACACGGAACATGAACCGGGTCCTGCTGCTGATTTCCCTGCCGCCGGCTAGACTCGAACCCAGGACCATCCACTCAGAAGGCCCTGTCTCTACTGTTATTCCAATTTGGGTTTCCCAGTAGAACACTGCTTCCGTAAATGTTTCTGAAAGAATCAGAAAAACAGACTCAGAAGACATTCTAAGCTGAGGAATCAGACCGCGGTGTCCGGAAGCAAAGTTTCACGCCCTTATAGGCAACCAGCCGTTCGATTTTTAAATACATATATCAAGAAATTACTTGTATTCAGTATGGAGAATCTAGGGCTAGATTCCACAACTCTATCATTGTTTAAAATAAAATGCATGCTAATTGCGAGGATGAATTTTGAATGAAAGGGATGGGTTGTCTGACGATATTTAGTCTTGAATTTCTAGTCAAATGCATGAAGAATGGTTTCCAATTACATGTACACTATAAATCTATTGTATTGGTCATGCACTAAGAAGATTTACGGAAGCCCGAGGCGCCGTCAATTTGGAATAGAAAATGATATTCTATAACAGTTGAGATTTACACTGTGGAAACTGATTTTTTGTTGTTGCACTAAGCCAGAGTGAATGCTGTGAACATGGATCTTAAAATAGCTCTGATATTTTCCAAACATTGGAAATTGAGAAAAAAGTACTTTGGGCGATGTAAACACACATGTACTAATCCAATGAATAAAAAGTCTCCCATACTTTCAGTTTTTAGTTGGAAATGAAGTTTGATATGATACAGAAAATGTATCTTTTTATGGTTCTCAAAACAGGCTCTAGAAGGAGCAAGGTAACAGAAATGTAACATATACAAATAACTGAAAGCCATGTATTAAATCAAATTTATTTAGGAGAATAGTACAAAATTTGATTTTAGATTCATACAGTCTACAAAATATCAACGACAGCAACAAAAGCGTAAAATGTGTGCTGCAACGACACGCATGTTACTTCCATTTTCATAAAATTCGTTGACTTGACGGACCAAACACAAATCGAGTAACGTAGCCACTTTCCAAGTCTCCAATGTCAGTTTTGAGATGTCTAATTACATGCACCATGTAACCATCTAACAGTCTCAAAACCTTCCCTGCCTGTCACGAAACACCAAAGAAATGTCTCCACAGAAAAAGCGTCCAGAAATGGAAGTAATAAAAAGAACAGAATTCGTTTCAGTAGTATTTTAGATACACAAAACGTACAGGAAACCAATTAGACCAGAAGAAAGATATAAAAACATGCATCACAAAACCGAAAATAACTTGGGACGAATTTAATTGTCTTTCAAATGAGGAAACAAAATATCTACCCTAGAAAAAACAACCACCCTGCAATAACAAAAAAGCCATCCTGAGAAACCAAAAGGGACACATTTTAATAAATGAACTTTTTAAACAAATAAGAGTAACTATAGAAAAAGACTTAGAAAGCTAAACCCTGTGTATAAACACTGAGTAGCATGCTTCATGTTTTACCGATTGCGTGAAAAAGGTTTGCACTACAAAAAAAAAAAAAGAAAAAGAAAAAAAAAGATGCAAAATTTCAGTAATATAATTATCCTTTTTTTTACTTCAGCTTCCCTCAATCTTTATCAATGATGTAACTTTTTTTGTTTACCTTTTAATTTTTTTCTGTAAAGCACAACGATTCCTTCTGGAGTATAATTATTATTTCAATTCTTGGCACATGAAATTCAATTCTCATGTATTTCACACTTTAATACAGATTTTGCTTTAGAGTTAAAATATTTTTTCCCCATGTTCCTTTTTCCCAAGCATAACACCCGCCTTATCTTATAAGCTACATCTGCACCTTTATCATGTTTAAGTCATTATACGAGCAAAAAAGTATTTAATAAAAATGTACTGGAAACTTGTGATGTGGTGGCTAAAACCAGGCGTAGCAGACAAATCATTTCTTGTCACCAAACTCAAACTCTAAATCATTCCAACAATTGGACTCCAAAATGGAAAATTTTCCACTAAACCAATTTCAAAAAAAGGTGTGAACTCACACAATCTACATTTTTCATAAATTGCAGAAGCTTAAAGGTGACTGAATGCGCCTGATTTCGAGCTACCATATCACTTTTGTGGAGGAAAAACTGACTTCCCTTGTAAAAAATCCTAGGCACACAAATGGTCGGCAGTTACAAAGGACTGGTTTTCTGAGATTGCCTTTGCATCTGGCGGCCTAGTGCAGTGATGTCTCTGGCAGTCTTTACTGCATAGCCGGCTGGCCAGCAGTGATGGCCTCTTCAATTCCACATTCGTTTTTGCCACGCAGGATCTTGAAGAAACCTGGGTTGAAGCAGGGAAGGATAAATTCAACATTGGTGACAAATACAGAAATGGAGCTTGGAACAATTGCGTTGACATTGTTCATCCTCACTGGTAAATCAAAGGACCGGTTTTCAATTTCGCCATTAAAGCAGTGTGTCGTATCACCGCAACATGCAATATGTCTGGATAAAGCCTGACATACTCTACACCCCCCCACCCGTAAAGCTCCTCCCTTAAGTCTGACCTTTATCTCCCCAGTCGGTGTTCCAAGAGTTGGCAACCAGCCAATAGTCCACACCATTCTCCACTCCCCACCCGAGGATCTTCACGGCGTGACCACCCAGCACTGAGCCCGTCTCGTGCTTGTAGACCCCTGGAGGCAAAAGATACATACAAATGGATGTCGAGGGTTTGCAGCCTGGGGCTAAAATGCACTAAGCAGAGGGAACTGTCGCTTAGTAAATCTTCGTGCCTGGCACCCTTCCAATGTAGGGCTTAGGAGTCATCTCAAATGTCTTCTGGGACAAGCAAGGTAAAATTGTGGGGAGAGTGAATCCTTTCCCCACAATTTCCCTGCAAATAGCAGTTTTATCTACGGTACTGGAGAAAACACTAACATGACAGAGAAAAGTAAAGTAATAGATCGTATGCTACATATTGTGGGTTTCAACTCGAGACTAGCCACATTATCGAGACCATAGGGGGACAAGACCAAGACCACAGCTCCCAAGACCAAGACCGAGACCAACAAAAAGTGGTCTCGAAACCAAGACCGGTCTCTGAGACCTCCATCACTGATTTTAAGTGATTTGCGGTTTCCAGAGACTGACCTTGGATCAACACACTATGACTTTCTCTGTGGTCATGTGTTCAGAGTTGAAGACTAAATCAAATAGTTGTTTGGAAAAAAATACAGACCTTGCTTGTATACAAGTACATTTAGCTTCATTCACTCGTTAAATGTACAAGTTGTGTTACCTCTACCCGTTGTTATACCTCCATATGAAAGTCAGTTCTAAATTCAAAACTGGAAATATTCACTTTGATCTTTTGAAAGGTTCTCTTGTCAGAATTGTCCGATAACAGATTTTCAGAATTTCACGACAAAATAAAATGTAAAGCAACAATATGCTTAACTTTCTGTGTATTATGCCATGATATTTTTGGGTTAATAAAAAGACTAAAGTAAGATTGCTTGAGATACAGGGCCTGTACAGGATTTCTTCTTGTTTATGTCCTTTTGTGCAGTAATATTGCCAGATTTAGTACAAATACAATTGTATTTGCCCGAAGAAAGACCATCCCCAGCAGGAGAAAAAACCTATAGAAGCGTTGTATTTTATGAAAGGGTTGACGTATATTTATTCCAAATGATACAGTTAGAGAAGTTTAAAAAAGCTCTGTGTAAGGAGTGCAGTCCTTTGCCTGTGGCTCTTCTGTCACCAAAACCACAGGTGTCCTTGACTGGCCTGCCTAGCCAAAACTGTAAAGTTGGGAGGGGGGGATAGGGGGAGAATGTGTATACAAATACTGATAACTACATTCTGGGGAGATTGTGGGGAAGTTTTCAGAAGTCTTCAATATTCCACCACAACACTCTTCCACAGTTTATCCTCAACTTTTCCCAGACGAGATTTGAGATGACTCCTATCAGGAAAGCACAAGAACTGCTTTTGCATGACTTTCTTACATCCAGAATTCTGGTTGGCGTTGTCATGGATTTTTGCTAAGCATGAGAAACTGTATGCTAAGCCCATTTCTATGCACTCACCAGACTTGTAAGGAGGGAAATCAGAATACACTGTGAATGCAGCTTCCACAGGGCCAAAGGTCATGATTTCAGCTTGAATAAGGGACACATTATTGGGGATCGAGTAGGCGTTCTCTCCTGAGGAAGAAGCAAAATATGAAAAGATTGTAAGCAATGTGATAACCCGCGTCTTCCTGTCCAAAAAGTTGCACAACAAGACACCCACGTTTGAGTTAAAAACCTTAAGAATCTTGCATAATGATTTCTTTAATATCCTCCCACTACCAATATCCTCTCCTACGTGAAACACTTTTTATAGTTTTATGGGCCTCATCTTTTCAAAGATTGTACCAAGACCATTCCAGGAATACGATCACTTAAAATTACGAATAGGTAAAAAATCTTTTCGGAACTGGTGAAAAACATTAATGTAGCACTTCCACAAATATCATCATTGCTCTTGGACACCAGTCACTCCCACTCAGTGAGAAAATGAAACTGAGAAGATGATTTTTCGTAAAGTTGGACGAAAATGAATCAACTCGTACCGAAATGTAAATCATCTTTGTAGGAGATGTTGTAGCTCGGTATGCATTTGTGGACACACTTGGGAGTGGGGTCATCACCCGTGCATGGTTTTAGTCTCCCCACGACGTGGTGGTCGCAGGCTGGTATCTTGTAGGGCTGACAGCCTTTTGAGCTGTTGTACGGGCCACCGGTGACAATGCCGGTACGTTTGAAGTACCTCCAGGCTGCACCGGGATATCCTCCATTGCATCTGGGAAAAAAGACAATTTGAAAAAAAAAATCACTGCTGCTGATCAAGCTCCTCAATGAAAGACTACATTTTTATCAATGACAACTTGAAGGGATGACACACCCTTGTCAGGGAGTCAGGTTGGCGTGGTGGCTCTTTCCTTGCCTTCCACCTCTGTGACCCTGGTTCAAATCCCACCTAGATGAGCATGTTGAATAGGTTTTCAGTCCCTCCCTGATTCCATGGGTTTTCCCTGGAAAATTTATCTCGTTTTTCCTTCAACCTCTAAACCTGAAATTCCTTCATTTCTTCATTATCTTTTTAATTGCCACTTTATCCTGTAGTTGGTGTTAATGTGCCGTTGGATGAACAGATATAAATAAATGAAGAATATCTAATGTTTGCAAGCCAAGAGTGGAGTGGACATTGGTTAGTTTTGTGTAGTTCAATTTTGCTCATTTGTGAACACTCTCGTAGGCTGGCTTTTTGTTGATAGTTTTTTGGACTGGTCCTCTTCATGAACATTTGTGGGGTGCAGGAGCAAAGTCGGGGCTCTCATATGGGGGGGGGGAGGCAAGTGGGAAAGATGGACGTATGTGGGGGGTGCACAAGTCCAAGTATTTTCTGGTGGAGTATGCACAACTAGTTTCTGTTTGAATGTGCACAAATCCTCAGGTTGTTTTCCTGAAGGGCTGTGCAATTCTTGGTGTGGGTCTGTGACTGGAGAAGGACTCAAACAAAAGACAATGTGATGAATTATTCCGCAATGTTCTTTTGCCTAAGCCCTTGGATACCAAGGTACATCCTAAGGAGTAAATGTAAATGATGGCAACCAATTGCTAGTGGCTGTAGCTAGTTCCCATAGACCCCTGTGCCACTTGATTTGGACACTGTCTTTTCACAGGATCACAACCTCATATCTTTCCTACCCTTCCCCACAGGATGTGCAGCAAGTCGCCAGGTTCTCAGCTGATATACGGGAGTTCACTCCTCGCATAATGCAAAGACGGTCTGTCATGGATTCCACAGCTCCAAAAGCCTAAAAAAAAACCAAAACAATAATTAAACATTAAAAACCTACCATAAGAGAATCCAAGATGGCACTTTTTTAATCTGCAGGGCCCCATTTAGATCTGAAAACAAAATGTTATTAATATTATAAAACAAAAACAGGAATTTCCTTGACCAATTCCTACATGTATGATTTTTGACATCTAAGAAGCCTTTATTCAAAACACCGACAAGCTGCAATGAAAATGAGACAAGATGCCCCCCACCTTTAGAGCTATCTGATCCTCCCACAAATGACAAAAAATACTTCAAGGTATGCTGGACTTAGTCTTGGATAGGGATGTGCCAAATATCCAAATATCTGGCTATTTGATGGATTATCAATTATTGAATATTCGAATATTATTTTCTGAATTTGAATATTTGAATGCAAAATTCATGAAAAGGAATGGAGAATTTCCTTTGATTTATTTGAGAAAAATTGCACTATGGAGGTTTGTTTCAAGCAGATCCAAAGGAAAAATGATTCAAAATGTAAACTATTCATTACACAATTTAAAAGGAGTAAAGATTTTCAACAGGGCAAGGAGTATTGTTCATCTCGTAATCTTGCTAAATTGTGGCTGGAGATACTCCTAGATGTGAGAATCTATTATAGTGATCATAATGTACAATTGTGTGTTTTATTGCAACTGATTTTGTATGGTTTGTTCCTAAACAATATGACGGTCAGTACAACCGAATATTCGGATATTTGATCGAATATTCGACTAGTGAATTATTTGAATTGATTAAGCCCTAGTGCTGGATTCAAGGACTTTTTACTTTCACAATATCACCTTCCCACACGACTCCATGTTTAATAACATCATTACATGTCTTCCACAACTTTCATAGCTTGGAATTCCAAGATTTTTCGGGATATTTTTCATGAATGTGGGAACCCCTCATCTAGCATTTTGGAATGGGGCCAAAGGGGTGTGTCTTCCTCCACTAGGTTTCTGTGGATGGGTTAAACAGCACCCTCTATTGTCCTGCTCGGCGGCAATGACTTACCCAACAGGACCCACATGCACCCTGGTCGCGGATCTCGTTCAGGCTTGAACACTGCTTCCATTTATCCCTGGAGTCGAAGCTATCGGGGATGTCTGATGCTCCAAGGTTGTGTGTCTTAGGTGGCAGTCGGAATTCCTCCGGGGTGGGAGTGAGAACTCCCATGAGTCTCTTCACATCCTGTCGGGAGTACCCTGCAAAGTTTGGCCCAGCCTAAATGAGGAAGATCATCATCGTTACCGAGAGCTGTAATGCTTGTATAAATCTACACAAGTCATGTATCTAAAGTTCCTTGTACGTTTAATATGCTGTTGAATAGAAGTCAATGAAAAGGTTGAACAGACCAACATGCCAATGGATAACATGTATTTGAAACCTTCCCTGAGTCCAAGGTTTGGAATATCATGTGACATTCAACAGACACTGTGATTGGACAATACTAGTGAACAGGTTCATTGTCAGTGGTGAACAAATGATGTTTGAAAACAAAGACATGAACCCAAATTTCCAAAACAGACAACTGGGGAGGGCAGGTAGGAAACAACAGACAACCTGTACATCAGGAATTTTTAGGATGCTTTATTAACAAATTTGTACTCACCTTCCAAGTTGTTACGATTGAATTGACGAATTCTGCCTCAGCCATGAAGGGGTCAAGGGGCCCAGTTTTGAAAACTGCACCCTGGCAGAGAGCTGCAAGGCTCCAAAGTAGAATCATGAAATGGTGCATTCTGAAACTAAAATATAAAACAACTTGTACATTGTGGCCTTACACTCACAGGAGGCCATCGTTCTTTCTGACCTTGACATGTTCGATTAGACAGGTTATAGTTTCATTATTGCTGAATTTAAAGCGCAAAAATGCTGCCCTCACCAAGGATATTTATGCTCACTCCTGCCAGATCAGCACATCTTTCAACCAGCACTGACCAAATTTAGACCACTGTGCTATTAATTATAACCCCAAAACACAAATTTCAAATATGACAAAATACAAGATGCCTCTCATCATGCTCATGATTGAATCCACATCATGCCCTTCCCTTTTGCCCTATAACCTCAACCATGAAACCGAAATAAAACTCAAGGCCCCTTTCTGGTGAACTGGAATTGTTAAGCCAAAACCTGAAACTTATACAACTCTATTGTACCCCATCTGGAGTTGATTTGCCCATAGAGCTACAGCTCTATGATTCGCCCATGAAAGAAGGAAAAGACCTTGAAATGTAAAATATTATAACAGCAGTCAGGAAGTGATAACATGACCTGTCAAGTGAAATTTAACATGTGTTAAGTGACGTAAAGTTCAACTCATTTAGTGAGATCGTGAGATTGAATGGGTAAAGGCAAAAAGACTGGAAAATATCAAAATGTGAGTGAAATCATTCAAAAAAATGTGTCAAAAGCAGAGAGATCAAGGAACATTTGTGTATGCAAAAAAATTGCACCTACGATTATAAGGGGGTGCGCTGAAGATTTGACCACGCTGACAACAAATTGCGTATACGGATGTGTGGCTAAGGACGGAGCAGGAGCGAGGGTCCATGCCACACTAGTGGGGCTAGGGTTTATCATGTGTGTCATTACAAATATATAATTATGTGGGGTATATCTTCAGGAAAACCCTTACAAGAAATATTTTTAACGGTCTATGCTGTACTCTAGGTTGATAACACGCGGTGCGGCATCTCCATGTGAGACTACGACATGCACAAGTATCGATCAAACACTGGCTACAGCTCTCCACTGCTGCCTCATTTGATCAAAATTCAAAGCCGTATCACAGGAGACAGGACCGGATTGTGGCTACCCCTGTCATGCGCCGCCCCATAAACCCCATGTATTAACTAAATTGATACACCAGCAGTTCTGGGTGAACATATGTGTAGGCCTACGTCATGTAAATTTAGGCTAGACTAGAGCAAAAATCATATAGCACTGCGTAGCGGTGCGAGATGAAGAACTTCACTGCGAATACATGTAAAACGTTTTAATCGCATAGGCACCATTTGAGTACACGATACACTTGCGCAATGCACATTACTGCATAGGCACAGGCGCCGCGGCAGGCACATGCACCTGGTGAGCCTGCACCGAAGGATGCAGTGTCCCAATTCAAGGAAAATTCTCCGCAAAGCGGAGGCAAACAAAAAGTACCTCCACAGATTCTTTCGAAAAGAGGGGTTTGTTTGGGCCAAGAAAAGGTGGGATTGTGCCAGTATGGCCCGGGATCATCTCTGTAGATTCAGGGGCACCCATCTGGGGGCAAAGCAGACAAAAATGTGATTTGTCAGAAGATCCTGAGGAAGGTGAGGGATGTCATCTGAAAAATGGCCGCTGAGAAGACTTGGGAACATCCTTTTTTATAGCTCCATGGGATCATTGACTTTTTTGGGGGGGGTGAGTTTGTTTTTGGCAGATAATTAAAAAATTCATTGGTTAACCTACTAAAAACTAAAAATCAAAGGAAATCTGAAGGACCAAACAACACATTGTTTTTTGTTTGAGAGGCCTTAGGGACTTCAGTTGCCTGCCATGGGGCTCCAAACTTGGCTGATTTTACACTATTTTCAATGGAGCTTGAATTGGTTCAGTGCACCCCGAAGCATTACCGTAAGCCGCGCAGGCGTATCGCTTGCTCAAATAGCGCCCATGTTAATTACACCTTTTGGGTAGCCCCACTAGTGTGGCTACATGTGCCACACTAGTGGGGCTACCTTTTGGGCAAAGTTATCCATCTTGCGCCTTCGGCGCAATACGATCTTTGGACTAGAGCTTTGAAGTTTAGACGTTCAACCATGTAACGTTTCATTAGCGCCCAACAGCAGGCAGGACCAATTCAGTCGCACTGCATTACAAGGAAAATCAGAGCATGGATGATCAGAATTTAGCATGGAGTGAAACTCACCTTTGCTGGCAATACAGATTCGCAAAGTTACACGAGCCAAATTTGACGTCTAACAACGGTCAGTGCGTAGACCTGAAGGAGAAATGACAGTGCAAGTCCGATGCATGCGTCATGTGACAATGAGAAAAAAATCGTCACATGACCTGTAGACGTTTGCAAGACTGGCTCCTAGTCTCCCAATTATCATTTTGCCAACTACAAAAATCAGGATTTTTAACAGACTAGCATGGGCATCACTTGAAAGAAGAAAAGAAGAAGTGGGTGCAGATCCTGAAGGGGGGGATTACCAATACAATATTAATCATCCCCCATTTGTCAAATCACTGACTATGCAGTAGCGCACCCTTAGGCGTCGATTTTGAACGTGTGTGTCATTTTTTTCTCGTGAAAATGATGAAAAAAATGGATGACCCGTAACATGGAGAAGAGTCTGCAGGCTAGGCCCAAAGGTAGCAACCGCAAAGGGTAGCGGAAACCACTGTAGGATTTGCCTGCGCATGCGCACACCGAAAATAGCCGAATCGTCCAAAAAGGTTCGGAACTTTGGTCTGAACACTGATTGGATGTTTTTTGACGCGGAAGTTTTAGAAATTTGGATGTTTTCTCAATTCGGATGAAATAAGATTTCGGGTAAAATACGTGCGTCAAATGACAGCTTTACGTTTAGAAGAGTTCCAATTTGTTTAGAATATATTCGGAGTCAAAAATTTTACTCCAATCTTGAAAAAATGTTTGGACTTTAAAAATCGTTCCAATGTTGAGAAAATGTTGGATTTGTAAAATTTGATTCGAATTTTGAAAACATGTACAAATTTCTTATAAAAATTTATTCCAATATAAAATTCATCTGCTCTTTAAAATACATTCGAATCTAAAAACATTGCATTGCGTATTGCCATGTTCTGTGCATGAAAGAAATATTGTATTGAAAAAGGCTACATTTGCTGTACTTTTATTTATAAATTAGTTTCCTTGGGCCGACATATTTAAATTTCAACAAATTTGTATTCCCAATTTCATGTTCAAAAAATAAGTTTTTTTCCCAATAAGGACCCTTCCATGCAATTTTCCAGTTTCGTTGTGCAATATTCCCTTCAATCCCTTTCCTATTCACTCTCCTCTGTAGAATAGGTCAAACTGGGCCAGAATTTTACTCCAAACGTGTTCCATATTCATACATTTCCAGCGGTGTGCAATCTTTTTCGTTAAATCCATTGTGTCCTTGGATCGGACGGTACTGTTCATTTTTATTATACCATCAATGTTTTGTGGTATTCGTTTTCTTTGTACGTATTTCACAGACGTTCTTACTTCAATATATACCCACATAGGTCTACATATAGACCCACGCACAGAAAACCTTACAATAAAAATAACAATTCTGAGAAAACAATTATTTTTTATTTCACATACTTCGTGAATACACACGAAAACGCACATCAAATCCAAAACCATATTTATAATGATACGTTTCTTTATTTCGAATTTACATGAGCCCCTCACAAAACCGTCAAACACTTCCCTACACTAATGGAATATTTCCGTTCCTCATTTTACGTTAATGAGGAACACGTGGGGCTAAATCCAGCCCTCTGATTGGTCGAGAGGCTGCCAAAAATTGGCAAAATATCTGTGCATCAATTTGTGCACTTAAGAGACAGTCTAAATAATTTTGTTGTTGTTGAGAAGTCAATGCTTGGTTTCTCTGATTCACTTTCTATTGTCCCGGTTTTTCTTTTATGATAAATCGCGACCTGATCACGGGAAGCAAATTCTTTAACTACGTGGGCCATTTTCGCCGCTACATATACATGATATCACATATACATATAATACAGTGCAAGAAGGGGGATGATTTCAAATCGAAATATTGCAAAATCTTTTGACAAATTATATATATTTCGGTATGCATTGCTACAGACAACATACTAAATTTGTACACGGTTAATGTATGCAGATTATTTAAATCATGAGATGGTTCCCTGAATCTTTCAAAATCCTCCACTCTGCAGGAAACCAAAGGTATATTCTTCGCGCTTCAACTTTCAATGGAGGCCAAGACCAATGTATTGCAAAGCACTACAAGTAGCTGGTCTCTTCCTCAATTCTGACCAGTTAACCAAGTCCTTTTTTGTCGACTCTGAAGGATCTAGGAGTGGTGACACTTACTGTCATGTATGCTTTCCTCTTTGATTAATAATAAACAATCATTTCCTTGAAAATTATCTTCCTTTGTGAGTGAATAAACGCTTGAACTCTTAACCAAAAGCACCCTGTTTTTTTGTTTTTAAATATGCGTGGATTCATAACATTGATGTCGTAAAAAAAAAAAATTACTACAATCTGAACTCACAATAGATATATTGCAGCACACCGTTAAGAGTAGGGTAGTCGGCGACGCATGTATATTTTCAAAGATGGATTTGCAAAGAACTGGTTTCAACACGGTCAGCTCTTTTGACGTCAATGTCGTGTTTTTCCTGCAAGTGGACGCAGGAAACTATAATTTGTTGTCGGTGCAATAGTAAAAGAATAAGACAAAATGTAAAAACTCCCAAGCAGCTATCAGATCCCAGGATACTGATACATGTACTTCTAAATACTAAATGAAAAATGTAACCCTATTCAAATTAATGGGACAAATTAGAACAAATTTGAGGTAAATTAAAAAACCAACCAAAAGGTGATATTTCTGCAAATTCCAGCCGCCCATAGGACTCACTCAATTGCAATGCTGTTAGCAAAGGTTAAAAGCGCATGAATTAATTGCGGCTGTATTTAGACAAATCCAGCAATTCAACAGACATTCCTGGTGGCCCCCTTTCATGGCGAAGAGAAGTGTGTCGGGTTTCGTGTGGACCGAGTGTCATGGGATTGAGGCTCTGTACACTAAACCATAGCCGTTACCACAAAACGTCTTCAATAACTGGTGAAAATGTGGTCTCAGATCCTGGAAACATAGTTTCCAATCATTTTGTGGTAAATTTGGCACGTGATCCATGCAATTTAGTTACATTTTGTTTATTTATGTACTATACTATGACAAAATATACGGCAGTGTCCTTGTATGCCAAGATCGGTGCCGGGGAGTGAAGATTTCTCTGATAAGGGCTTCCAGGAGTCCTAACAGCATTTTCGGTCCTACTCGTTAACAACTAGGCTACACGTCTACGCAGTCCCCACACCATAAGAACTACGAGTGAGTTTGGATGAGTGCATTATCACAAAATAAAATTTATCTAAGTCTATTCTTTTTATATAAAGAAATTACAAAACTCAAGAACACCGCACAACATCTGAAATTGAAATTAAAAATGTCATTTGAAAATACATTTAGAAACACACCAAGTATTTCACAAATTACTGACGTGACTTTGAAGCATGATTTCATTGATTTTGACTGCACACGAAAACGTTAAAGTGATAAATACGAGAGCAAAAACCTTCCTACGACGACTGAGAATATTTTCATAAAAATGTTTAGCCTACTTCAGGGTTACCTCTACATGTATTTACATAATTATTGATGACTCATTAACTTTAAGTCAAGGCCAGAACCTTCAGACGTTACTGAAAGTCACAATCAGTTTTCCAGGACAACACATTTGATTAACTTTGAATAAACAAACTTTTAAGCTACTAGTGTATACAAACTTTCTTACTCACCACAAAATGAAATTCAATACGGCACCGTGGCAGAGACTTCTACAATCTTGGAATTCACACCAATGGCACCCAGCAAAATAAATCTTACAGTCCTCTTTAGAAAGTGGCCTGAGCAGCATATTAATATACAGGCCTTTAACTCGTATCGCACAACAGAAATCAATAGAAAGTGCTTACAATTTCACCCAGGGTGAGTCCCTCTACAGCATGGGACACAAAACACTGATGTCAATGTGCTCTAGCCAATGCACGCTACATGTGTGAAGAAAACATTGAACAGTGTCCGTAAGACTCATTTTGTGGTACCTAGCCACACGTGGATTAGTCATTTTTGTCCCTAAAAAGGCTCAGTGAGCAACCCGTCACATCTGACAAAGGCAGAGATATGTAGGCCATTGCCAGTGCTGTTTTGGACCCTTGCAAATTCAAAAGCATTACAGTTTTTGTGCAAACTCTGGTGAAAGTTAAGAAAAATTTATTCAATGGATGATCTTATGAAAACAAGGTACAGGGCCACATATTATTACTGGGAGCGCCCTCTTGTGACGGACAGGCAACCGAGTAAAATCCTATTTGGATTTTTATCTGCAATTTTGTTTGAAACAATATGTAGGTGCAAGGTATTGGCTGCAGCTTTCTGTCTTAAGGCTGATATAATTCAAATACCAGTAAACTGAATGTTTGAATATTCAAGAATCCATTCAACTGATTAATTGTTTGATTCCCCATAAAAACTGAAAACAAAACCATGATTTATACATACATAAAACTAAAAAAAAGACAAAACCGAAGGAATTATTTTTTAGCCTAATATAAATGTGGGGCATATGCAATCAGCTGCCTTTAAGTTTACGTGTAACAAATATGCTTTTAATGCATGTTAGTAGCCAGACAACTACATTTTTCCCTTTTGTATTTAACTAACTTCCACTTCCAAATATTCAATTTCAAAAATATATATTTGAATATTCAATAATTGATTGAACATCTGAATAGTTAATTATCTGTCATGGCCTATTACGAATTGTGAATAATGAGCAGTGATTATGGTTTGTAAGACATTGCAAGGCTCATGAAGTCTTCATAGTTGATTTGAATTTTGCCGTTGAGATTTGTGTCCCGTTGCTTGAAGGCGTCTGTCAGTGAGCGCAGTAAAACACAGATCTGGATGAAGTCATCAAATTTGACTGAGCGCCGCGATAGCCGATCATACTTGATGATGGTTGCCTGGCAGAAGTTCAAGCTGACACGGAAGCCCATCTCGTTCAATGCTGCGCCAAATAAACAAAATGGTCACAAAAATGTAGGCTGGATTCGAACTTGCAACTTCCAAAACAGTACACCCTTAACACTGAACTTTATCAAGTTGAACCCTTTCTGCATGTAATAAAGTCCTGAGGACTTTCAAAATTACCTTGTTTTAACTGGAACCTTGAATTGAACCAGGAAACAAAGAACACAAAGACTTGGGACCTCAAATTTTTATTGTAACAAGTAGGATTCTTATCATTGGAGTTCGTAACTCCAATGATGTTAGTTCCCTCCGACTTTGATTCTGTCAAAAATTGCTAAATCCTGCCAAATACAAACACTCAATAAAAGCAGTCGACTGTAGTGGAATCTGGGCCTGTCACTTTCAAAATGCCTTACTAGGAACTCACCAACTAAGCCCCCCCACCCAATTTTACCCTCTCTCTGTCAGTGTCAAGGTGTGTTTTAAAACTTTAAAATGAACTGAGTCCTAGTTTCAAGTACATGTATTGTACTTTGCACGACATTTTGGCTGGTAATTTGTTTTCATTTCATTAGTAGACCAATGTCAATGGTAGTAAATTTCACAAAAACCAATTTGAAGAATTTTGCACTGGATAGTAATCACTACTTGCTTTTACTCTGAACATATCTATTGGATTCTAGTCATTTCAGGCTTTTAAAAACTACATGTAACATGAATAAGGGAAAGCTCTTTCAGGCCACTTAGCAATCATAAATATCATCGGGGGGGGGCCGGCAAAAATTTCAGACTTCAAAGATACCTTGCAAGATGAATCAAGTCGAGCTACAATAAATGCTTCACGATAGCACTGACTGGTTTGCTGGTTCAGTGTCTACCACTTACCTGTCATCAATTCCTGCGCATCAATGTTGCCCGATCTGTCACGGTCGTAGCGCTCGAAGACTCCTCTCCATTGCTGGATATACATCCAGAGGGAACTAAACTCTTGCAGGTTGATTGTACCGTTGTTATCTCTGTCAAACATCCCTGGAGAAGAAAAACCAATTGAGAAGAATCACGGTGGACATTTTCCATTCAGAATGTTCCCTGTCATAATAACGTATATTTAGACCAATTAAATGATTGATTATTTTTGGTCATACAGTTGCCTATTTCTGCTGCAAGGAATAGGAATTAACCACTTCCTGTCGGGGAGCCCGGTTTTGGGCACCTTTTGTTTACACGCAGAGCCGGGGTGCCCATTTTTCGCCTTCCATTTTTTGAAGGTAATCCGGCACTGTTTTGAAACAGTATACCACTGTTGTGGGGATAGCGTGCCCGCGGATTAGCACTGCCGACAAAAGTGCTCCAGGGCCCCATGGATGAGCAACACAGCGCCGCCGCTCGCTAATCCAGCTGCGTATGAAAAGATGCTACTGGCATTCACTGGAACAAAGGATATTATGTAACACCACACAATTCTGGGATCTCTTTTACAGGGCTGCAGGCCTAGGCTGAATACTCAGGCGGTTGCTTGACAAATTAGAGTAGCCACCAGAGAGTTGTTTGTGTGGGTGTAAATGTCCAGTAAATGAACATATGAATGTTTGAAGAACTTTGAAAATGGAAAATCTTGAAAAGATACCGCCATCACATCCCGCCCAAGAGAAATCCACCCAGCAGGTAGTGGTTAAAAGTTCCCCGTTCCTTTTTAAGATGTTTCACTCAATACTCGACATCTTTGTTAAGCTTTGTATGCACGAACAACAAACATAACACTCCTTTTGTCATTTTTTATAAATTTAAGAGTTGAGAAAGCACTTGTAACAATTGGCCCTATTCACAAGTCAGGCATGTTGGATTGAAAGATACGTTAACTTGTTTATTTTTAGCATCTGAGAATGAAACTGAAAGCACTGAAGTAAACTGGCCCTACAAATGAATGGTCCTTTTGATTAATCATATCAAAACGTTTTAAGCCAATTAAAAAAATTAAAGTGAGGCATGGAACCCAGTAGAGTCTGGCACCACCCCATTCAACAAATTATGTTGAATAAAATAGACTCTAGGAACCAATTCAAAATGGCTTTGGCGTGACTCCAATTTATCTACTCCATCTTTTGCCCTTACATCAATGCTTATACAATATTCACAATGCATTCTCAGTGTGGTAAGAAAGTCTACACTAGATGCAGAAAATTGGTATACATTGTACACCGTTGTGATTGGCAACCTGCTTCGGTTGAGCATTGGAACACTGTCTTTGCAAAGCCAATTTTTCCTCCATCTTACCTATCATTAATCTGCATGTCTCGGCGTTAAAGTGGGACCAGTTGTTGTTGGTCAGTGCCTGTTGGAGTTCCATGGCAGTGATGCTGCCTGTCCTGTCCTGGTCAACAGCTAAGAACCACTGGTAGACCGTCGGGTCAACACCAGGGGGTGGCCCCCCAGCTGGTGCTCCGTAACCTGTCCCCAAATGTACAGACTCAGGCCCCATTTCTCACTGGTCACAAACACTCTCATGCATAGTTGCAGTTGAGCCCTTTAACAAGTCTAGCCACAAGTCCATTCCCAGCACCAGTCATAAGAAATAGGTTGAATCCCTACAAAGGAATGCTTTCGTCACAAATCATTTTAACGGCTTGTGACTTGGGTTAAGATTGTTTGACTCGTATTGGACTTGCAAGGAGCTCTGATGGATTCGATTACTAGCAAGCATAATATGATATCATGAAGGAATCTTAATTCTTTCATTTATTTTTCTATTAAAGCCAGAGCCCAAATAAATAATAAAAAGTCAAATTTTTTTTGTGCGGTTAAGGAGTCTGGCAGATAATGCCAGGACATCCCTGGGTTGAGCCAAAAATTACATGAGAACCAGTGACCGGTTGTTAACAGTGCATGGTGTTTTCCCTGTTGACTTTGGGCCAAGTTCACAGAATTGCTAGCTTCTGATATTGCTTAGTGCAAAAAATACTTGCTTAACAAAACTGGTTACCAATCGCAGAGTCACAGAATGTGTACTGCTTGTGGTTGGTACCCACCTAATTTCACTTCACGTAAAAATATTGTTTGGCTAGACAAGGTGCTTGACTTTTTTGGTAAGTTAGCTGCTACTGCGCTCTGCTTCATTTGAAAAGTCTTACCTTGCTGGCCGTAGCCGCCAGAAGGGGCACCGTAACCAGCTTGACCAGGTGGTGGGGCACCGTAGCCAGGTTGCCCTGCCGGTGGTGCGCCATACCCAGCGGGGGCACCATACCCGGGTTGTCCCCTTGGTGGTGCATACCCAGGCTGGCCTGGTGCTTGGGGTCTGTACTGTGATGAGGGTGGGGCTCCGTAGCCTTGCTGCCCAGGGGGTGGGGCTCCATAGCCTTGCTGCCCAGGGGGTGGGGCTCCATAGCCTTGCTGCCCTGGGGGTGGGGCTCCATAGCCTTGCTGCCCTGGGGGTGGGGCTCCGTAACCTTGCTGCCCTGGGGGTGGGGCTCCGTAACCTTGCTGCCCAGGAGGTGGGGCTCCGTAGCCTGGTGTCTGACCCTAATGACAAAATGAAACAAAAATTGGATGGCACTGGGTTTAGGTTACTTTTGATGCCCTTCTACTGTGTCTTCAGAAAAAGTATAGGCCGTATAGCCCACACGTAAGCCCACAATAATACCAACTCTAAATCTGTGAAATTACAGTTGTTCAGTGCAAATCTTCACTATCCAAAGCTGTGGATTTTGCGCACTTTAAATGACCTCATTACAAGATGATAAATAGGCCTATGGGATTAGGCCAATTTACATATTTCCATAACTTGCACTGAACACAGCCATTCATAGCGCAAGTTGCTGACTTGAGAATTTGCAACTAGGCCCAGACAATAGGCAGCATATAGGCCTTACATGTAGCAACCATCTTTGAAGACGAAGTGTGCGATGTGTTTGGATCATCTTGGTCAAAAGAATGAGAGGGTTACTGGGTGGTGAGTAAAAGCTCAAATTTAGATTTAAAGAGATATGCACCAGTTTCAATGGCTATTTTGAGGAAGATTTGATTGAGAAAGTGGTTTTTTAAAAAAACGTAAATGCACCCTGATTTGACATAACTGAGCTGCATTAAAAATCCCATGGCATTACAAACCCATAAAAAGTCGTAGGGCTGCAAGTCACACGTACTCGTAGCCTTAGGTTCCATGTGTGCAGTCTACTAATTCAAGTGAGAATTTCTGGCCAGCTCATTAGCATTGAAAGTGCCCCCACAGTGTCCATTGAAAAAGGAGATTGTATAGCCCCCAAAATGGTGAAATTGTGTAAATATTTGCCAGGATCAACTCCCTGGGTCTTTTAAAAAAACTGGACTTTCATCTGAGAGCCGAATGGCTAAACAATACAGTTAAAAAATGGTCCTAAGTGCCCGAGAAAATTGAGGGAAAAAATGTTGCATCTTGACTCCACTTCAGCAGTTGTGTACAAAGTCTATGGGGAGTGAAGAGAATTTTCTAAGTATTTCCCAACAACATCGGTCAATGTTTCTCAATCCAGAATTCGTGTCTTTCCAGCATTTCTGTAATGATTGACTTTATTGAGATGATATAGGCATCATGAGAAAAGTCAGGATGCAACATTTTTTCCGAATTGAAAAATGGCCGCAAGCAGACTATGGAAAATCACTTTTTGGGGGTGATTTTGTATTGTTCAAAAAACTAAAAATGTAGGCATATGGGCCTAGTGTAACGGTGTCTACAGTCACCACAGGTTCTGATGGCAATGTGGGAAGGAGAGACATCAGCAGAGGCTCATTAATTACAATCAACAACAATCACATTTATTCCAATAAATGATCAACTCACAGGAGCCATCTTGACAAGCCATGAGACTTGCCTTCCCATAATGCAATTCTACATAGACTGGTAAATTGTCCCATTACATTAGGCCTTAATTGGTTCACCAACAGAAAACTGAAAAGATAAAGAAAGATTTGGTATCAGACAATAATTTAATTTGTGTTTAAGACACCTCAAGGACGTTGGTATGCATATTATTGGGTCCTGAACAGTGCTGATTTTACAATGGCATGAATGGGGCTTAAATTACAGTGGACTAAGCCACGGAGGAAGAAATTACTAGGCCTACAACTTACAAGACAGTACACACACTAGACGCGTCGGTAGACCTCATGGCCGGGAGAAGTCCCAACCCTTTACTAACTTTTTGTTACATTTTGCCATTTCTCCTGAAGACCTTTCGGTTAAAGTACCACAGCGTAAAAATATTTAAATCGACAGAAGTAAATGCGTATATTTCCTATAGACCACAAACTCTAATTACTTAGGTCATTTTACATGTTTTATGTCATTTCACTTACGTACGACATTGTGCTTGCAGAATTGTTGACAAGGGATGAAGATTTTTCCCGACATGTGCCCGATTAGCTCTCGCAGATTATCACATGCATGAAAGCAAGCACCAGACTACACCCACATTTTCCGGAAAATCAACAAGAGAGGGCGTCGAGTCGGTCACCTTTTTAGGCTGGACTACACCCGCCGTACCAAGTACATGTACGAGCCCATAGGGGTGCAGTGTCCCAATTCAAGGAAAATTCTCCGCCAGCCGGATTGTTTTAAAAAGAGGGGTCTGTTTGGGCCAAGAAATGGTGGGATTGTGTCAGCATGGCCCCCCAGGATCATCTCTGTAGATTCACGGACCCCCCTCTGGGGGCAAAGCAGACGAAAATGGGATTGAAAATTAGTCAGAAGAGCCCGAGGAAAGTGAGGGATGTCATTTGAAAAACGGCCGCTGGGAGGGCTTGGCAACATTCACTTATTGGGGGGTGAGTTTGTTTGGGGCGGATAATAAAAAAAAATCATTGGGTAAGCTACTAAAAATTGAAAATCAAATGAAACCTTAAGGACCAAACAACACATTGTTTTTTTGTTTGAGAGGCCTCAGGGACTTCAGTTGCCTGCCATGGGGCTCCAAACTTGGTTGACTTTACACTATTTTCAATGGAGCTTGAATTGGTTCAGTGCACCCATAAGTTGCACAACACAATACGCGCATAGCGTGCAAACTCGGACCGAAATAGCGCCGCCTGTTGACTCTCATGAAGAGGTTGGCCTCCGTTTTTTCATTGGAAATTGAAGATTCTGCAGTGGTCAGAAGATCACTTTTCGTTTCAATTTCATGGGGGTTAGCCATGAAAAAAAATTTCTATTCGCCTTCCAAAGAAGATACCCCTCAACTATAAGTGAAACTAAGCGCTCATTTCTGAATGTAGCCGCCCACCTCTATCCAAAATAGGTCCGCAATTTAGGGCTTTTTGTGAAAGAAATACCCCGAACTAGAAACTGCTATTCCTAAATATAAATATTTCTATGATACTTCCTGATTATGGTTTGTCTTGTTGTGTGGGATAAAAAAATATTAATGAGCTCGCGCGCAGAAATCCAACCATTTGGTGGAATGCACCCTTTACTCACATCTCAGCTGGACCATGGGTCGAGTTTGGGCCGGGACTGTTATTATTGAGTGGACATGGGTCTCTTGTTCTCGCGCTCGAACGGTGGGAAAAGACCCAAGAAGACTGTTCTTGGAGCAGGATCACACACCACCTGCTCTTTGGGGCTTTGCACAAACACACGGAAAATTCGTGAGAGTTTGATATTGGAACAGCCACAAAAATAGTGAAATGCCTTTGCAAAGCTGGAGACAATGCATGGGAATTTTGCAAAATTTACAATACTAATTGTCCGTAACACAGAAATCAATGTTTCTTTTTAAATAAAAAAGAATTCAGCACAGTACTTTCAATGCTAAACATTAACTCGGCGTTCTCCGTCCATGACATTGTCTGACATCTAAAACGCTCATTGTAAGCCTATAAAATTAGAAAATAGCTAAAAGTACTTCCGTTTATCGATGATGCACCGTTTGATGTCCCGTTAATCCGTATGTGAAAGAAAATAGGGGAATCATGCAAGCAGTTAAGAAACGAAACGAGGCCAAAATTTTGCATGACCATGTAAAGATTCGTGAATCTCGGCAACTTCAATACAAATCCACAATTTTCATGGGCTTTTTAACAATAGGTGGGCGGTTGAAGTGCAGAAGTTCATACCGACGGAAACGCACCAAAGACGGTAACGTTTAGTCGTGGAAGGAGGCCACAAGCACACCATCCAATAACACATTTAAACTTGCAATGATATGGCTAAGTATTAAAATTATCAATTTATAGGCCTCTTTCTGTCTTATTTTCCCATCTGCACTTAATTAATCAATTTATTTTCCAATGCCAAATTTAACACACAGTAGTACATGTTGGCCTCATTGGTTGTTTAGTCATAGCTAAACAGTTTAATAGGTTAATAGCTCCTTACTTTCGACAATAAAGGATCAACCAAAGAATCGAAAAAACGGAAGCATCCATCCAAAATCTTAAAAAAAAAGAAAAACGACTTCCGGCATTTGAAAATGTATGGTTGAAGTATTTGAACACATTCAGGTTGCCAACGATACACGTTGTTTCAGAAAGTGTCTTGCCGGACCAATACACTTTAATAATCACTTTTGATTAAACAGCGCCACCCAGATGCCTGGTATGCTCAAAATCATGGACCACTGAGCCGCTCATCTTTTTTCCGCTCCTTATTGTCTCAAAAATAGAACAATGAAAAAAAAGGTTCATGGTTCAGAAGAATTTCAAATGAGCAGCAGCATTTAGAGGCACATACGGCGCGAATTCAGTGTACAAAATCTGTAGCCAATTGCTTATTAGAAGTGGTGGCTAGAGCCATGGAGGATGCTAGAGCGCTGAAGTATAAAATTTGCAATACACACATCGATGCTGTACATAAGCTTTGAGCCACTTCTTTGAATCACCTGAGTTGTGACCTCAGGGGAAAGCATACTCGTAACAGAGGAGGTTTGTTCGACCCAGAAAGGTCACGGACAAACCACATCCAATATGGCGGCATATGCGAACGTTCCGTGAAGCCGCTTCCGAATGACGTGGCTGCGGCAAGAGGTAACGCGTACTTGTGAGAGAAATGCGGTAAGCCACTGACATACAGTTTCCATATTTCCATAGGTGTATTTTTTCAGCCGTTGGAAGTGATTCATACACGGCCTCAGACTCACAAGGTCGTAATTTTTAAGTGCATATGCGCCAGTGTGGTAACAATAAATATGGGGAACAACGCTGATGGTTTTTTCTGTTTGGGCAGTCTGCTACCTGTCACTACAAAGAAGAGAAACGATTCTCTCTAACGACAGAGAATTCTCACCTTGCTGTGGCATCAAAATGAAATTCACAGCAAACGAAAGTAAGATGAGGCCCCCCAGAACAAAAAATGGAAGCTTGAAACCTCCGGCCTGTTGAAGCAACAAAGTATTGAAGTTAAGCCTACAGATTTTTTTGTTGGGGGGTAGGTGTTAATTTTTAGATGAAGTTTCTTCAAGGGGTTTCCGCTTATTGTTATGGTACCAGCCTGTAAGGTTTATTGGCTGGTGTATTGTGGTCATTTGCGCAAGGACTGCGGTGTTTGTGCGCAAAACGTGGGCGGAGTTCAAGGTAGGTAGTAGCGTAACTAAGATGTGGCTGGATCTGACAACGGGAAAATCTGTGAGACGGTTTACTTACGTTGAAAAGCAGCCCGCCTAAAATTGGACCGACGGTAAATGACAAACCGGCCATTATCTCGGTGTTACTCTAGAAAAAAAAAAAAAACAATTTTCATCAGATCATTATGTGAAATTATACCAAACGAAAGAGTTCGAGAATTGACGTGCGTATGATTACGTTAACTGCAAGGAAAATTGGCGTGCTCGATCACACTGGGTTAAAACCGCGACTTAAAACCTCTGTCGATCTCAACAATCTCACATTTTGATTTATGGAAACTGATTTCTTTTAAAAATCTCTTTTAATCAGTTATTTAACCATTGCCTCAGAGAATCGAATGATTTAGAAATAACCTACGTGAATACGTGATCCTTTCTTTAAACTAGCTAACTTGCCTGAAGCCAGGGGCGTAAATGGGGGGGGGGCAGGTATAGAACATACATATTCACACAATGATTGGCCAGGGGGTCATGGGATACTGCATCATCCCCCACTTTTTCGTGGTGAGAAAAAAACCGGTTTTGAGTAATTGAACCTTCAGACACCAAAATGTCTTCTTTTGCACTGGAAAAGTGAAAAACTTTTGAACAGCTATAAATGCGCCACTTTGATGGTGTAACCTCCCTCGAGGGGGTATGATTATGCACAAAATTTACATGATGTACATAGTACAAAAGTATGTCTATATTATAAACCGCACTTACTTACATATGTACTTTGACAACCAATCAAAAAGCTGCTGTTGATGTGGGGGCGCTGTTCAAATAATATTGTGGTGGTTTTCCCCCACCCAAAATATTTAATATCCTCCAAGGGGAATGAACGGTTATACACGCAGGAGGGGGAACGGAGAACTGTTGTTCTAGGTCTGCCCGTTTGTCGACAGCATACAGACGGGTAAGGATTAAAGAGCTCTCTGCATAACACAAGTTATTGAAGTGAAGAGGAACACGCAAGAGCTATGTATACAACTCTCAGCTGGTTTATTCTGGCCCTCTCGTTCAATTGGTACAACAGAAATAATGAGAAGTTAGTGTTCCGAAACTTACCAGAGGTTTATTTCCCTTGGGTCTGCGGTTTACCGCAGCAACTGTATGCAAATTACCAAAACTGCTCTCAGTATCAATCCAATTAGCACACCTCACGGCGGAGGGATATCCCTGCATGCCTCAATGGCACGCCGCTATAAAGAATTGCAGAGTGCGTACAAATTTGGCCAAGTAGTATCGAAAGGAAGATGCATTATTTCACATGAAAGAAGTTTAGAAGTTGAAATATAAGAAATGGAATGACAAAATTATAGGAAACAACTATAAAATGTTAAGCTTTTAAACAGGACTCCCTGCTTATATTTCTGTGAAATATTAGACCCCAACTATGGATACATATTATGAATCACCGGGGGCATAGTTGAGTGTAAATTTCTCCCAAAACGGTACCAAATTACCCCACTAAGCTTAACACAAACTGGAATAATGTAAGCTTTATTTTGATGTGTTTCTGACATGCTTGGGAGTTCTAAGTTTACCTGATTTATTTAAAAGTTTTCCCCAGAATTCATCATATTCACGGTCGACAACAAACAAGGGAGGCCTATCATATTTTTAAAAAATATTGTTTACTCTCCGGTTTATTCACAGATCTGCTGTGTCGTAAATACATTTGTCCTTTCTTTCTTGAGTGCATGGTACAAGAGCCAAGTAGGGGGGGGGGCAACAGGGGCCATGGCTCCGCCCCCAGGAGCGAAACTATTTGTTAGAAATATAATGAGAGGAGTGCGAGTTTTATGGTATATTTCACATCCAGTGAAGACACTTGCTATCCGACTACATGTACATCTTCCCGGCATGGCCGATGTTTTGGCGTTACCTGTGTTCTGGAAATCTATTGCTACTCAAATACAAAGACGAATCATAATATTAGTTATGAAATTTCTAAATATTCTCGAATCGGAAAGAAATTAAACAAAAACGTACGCCAGTTGCGAATGGCATCAACTAAAGTCATTGATAATTTGAACTTTTAATGTATATGTAACTGAATGTACCAGAGTTGCAATTTCAAGATTTCTCTACCAATGTACATCGCGGGGAAAGGTTAAAAGATATTGTCGACTATTTTAAAGTCGAATAGGCCAACCATGTTTGCAGCCTATCCACATAGTTATGTATCGGTGGGGCTTCTGGGCGTTCCATGACACAAATTTTTGGGATCGAAGTACGATCGGCACGTAGGCAGTGTCAGTTACGGGTTTCGTATTTAGTTCTGGTCTTGCGCCAAGTTAGATTCCGATCGGTAATTTGCTTGATATCCAGGTAAGAGAATATTCATATCAAATATAGTTTATATTCCATATTTTCAGAATATTGTTTTCTCTGCCAATTCCCCGTCTAATGATGATACATTGTGGCGGATAGCCAAGCAATCAATTGTTACTATGTCCCATTAAGCAGAGTCGCAAACTAAGATCCCTCCGAAAAACTCTGTGATTTTCTTTCCTGCCGATTTGGTTTACTGAGGGTGAAAACAATCACCCACACGAAAGTAGAGGCTTTCATTACAGTTTGGGTTTCTGTAAGATATGGACCATAAGAGAACTTTTCTGCCCAATTTTGAAAAGGGCCTTTTCACTTCTGAAAATGCCATTCATTTTCCACTGAAGTTGAATGAAAAAGCAATCTGTGTCATTGTATGCGCATTCCATATTGAAAAAAAATACGTGTGGCCAATTTCGATTGCGGAAGTGTAGACGACTCCACCTGTTTCTCAATGGGCGTTGCTTGGTTTTGTGCGGACCGGCCATAGGAACGGCAGCAGGAACCAGTGCAAATGATCCGTGAAAGTGTTATCACGGGAACCAGTGCAAATGATCAGTGTTAGCTTTATCACAATCACCGTAGATTCCTCTGTACTCTTCCAACCGAACTTGGTATTACAGTTGCGTGTAACTGCAAACAAAAACGACTTTTGGTCATTTCAAATAGAAGCTGACATCAAATTTGGTAAGTGCTACATTGTGTTTAGAAGAATAAAGCTGGACTAAAACGAAGCGTTACTCCTCGGATGATATTTGATTCACACCAACTTGTACACATTGGCTGCAGGGAACAATACACAAACAATGTTTATGAAATCAATGGTGAGAATATGATCCTGAAGTAACAGATTGAATGTTCCATGTGAAATGTTACCCAATGAAACAGCCAATTAGGGCTTAGCTGATTCTCTCTACATGTACATCGGTGGGTGTGTGGGAGATGATTCAATAGCCCACCCCACCTGAAAAAAGTGTAGGGGACATACCTTCATCCTGCCGGGATTTACGTCCATGGATGAATGTCTTAGTGAATATGAGGAAAAACGTATAGATTATCTGCGACTTTCTAACACATGTACAAGACATAATCCATTTTGTTAGAATAAAGAGGCCTACTAAAAACCAAGAGACTGTATTATGTTAACTCCCGGCTGACACAAACTACTATCTTCTCAATAAACCACACGTCTCATTTAATTTGCAAAATCAAATAGGTCAAAACAAATTACAGGGGAAGAGAACAAAGGCTGCATTAATTTTCCCAAGACTTTGTTAAAGGGTTATTTTAATGTTTTGAAATCAATTTGATTTTGAACACCCATGTTTTTTTCAGATGGCAGAATTGCAGAAGTCCTCCTTTGACGATCAGGTCTGACTCATGATATGGACAGTTCTTCGCTCCTTATCAACCGTTCTGGCAAAATGTCTAACGGCTGTCGATAAATCTAAGGTTTTCTTCGAACTATACACAAATCCTGGCAGATCCTGAAGCAGTCAATGACAAGTTCTACAACTCTGAATTGGGGCAGAAGTTTTCTGCTGCTAAGACGAGGGGTCAAAAGTAACAGGAATATCATCAGGTGTTGATGTCTTTGACTGTAGCTACCTATCGGTAAGGGAACACCTAGAGGAATTCCATCCGAATCGGGAAAAAGTTTATTTTCGGTAAAAATGTTGCCTTCGCTGTCAAAGGTCGTCTTGAGGTTCTCTCAAGGGAATACCATCATCTGTTCTTCATTCGTCACCCCCTCAAAGTTTTCCCTTTTTGGAAAGAACACATCTAAACATTATGCCTAATCTGTCTCCAGATGAATTTCGCTTGAACGATTTACCCGAAAGATTTTTTTCCCGAAAGACTGGCTCCAGGGAGATCAGTGAGATGGTTGATTAGGTGAAGAAGGAGAATGATCCCAAAGCAATCATCATCGATGCTGACGACCTTCTTCGAGATCCCAGAGGAACTGCAGCATTTATTGTCTTTCCGTATAAAGGGAGCGGTCGAAAGTTGACGGGTGGCTGCTAACCACCATCTTTATTGTTTGTTTAGTTATTAACACATGAATGTGTTTTTGTGTATCGTACTTTTTCTGGCAGTTTTAATTGTTCATTTTAATATAGATGTACCGGAATGGCTAGAGCATTATTCCTTACTTTGTCTCATTTAAAAAAAAGTGTAAATGTGCCTTCAAACCCTGAACATTATCGCGTGCTTATGTCTTGCTCGATGTGGCGATTTACAAATCAATGTGGACAAAGGTTCATCAATACTGTAAAACTGGTTTGTATACTGGGTGGAAAATATTAAGGTTCATTACATTTGTATTGATTTCACATTATTAGATCCTTAGTAGAGTACAAAATGGCGATAAAGAAATACATAACCTTAGCCTTAATTTTATTTTTACTTTTTTCTGCTCATCAACGTTAGCACTGGTTGCATAAGCCTTGAGAGAAAATTGAATTAAGCTTACCTGCTGCTTGCTAGTTGTTCCCATTGTGTAATCGACACATCCAAAGTACATTTGGATCTTTCAAACTTGGCCCAAAATATTTCCATGTTATGAGGCTATCTGACCAGAGGTAGGAAGGATAGCTTTCCTGTAGTATTAACTACTACATTCTATTTGGATTAGAATGGTCTCTTGGGACGATATTTTGTTGAAACCGTCATGGAAGGTATAGAAGAGTATGCCCTTTTAATGTAACCATCGCGGGGCATCGCAACCCCCCAAGATCCAGAGTTGGTGACTGGAGTGATGTGACTTGGACTCGAGTCGGACTCGAGTCGCTATTTTTGTTACTTGTGACTTGACTTAGACTTGAAAAAAACGACTTTATCTCTTCTAAAAAAGGACTTGTTACCAACCCAAGTCAGACGCTACTCGACCGGCTCCATTTTTATAACTTGTATAAACGCCTGGTTCCTTTTGCTTATTACAGCTGGATAGAATAATGTGCAAGCTTGACTTGTACTAGGACAAAGAGACTTGTAACTCGACTTGTTTTTAGACCAAATGACTTGTGACTTGACTTGGACTTGCACATAATGACTTGTGACTTGATTTGGACTTGCAAAATATGCTTGCTGCCACCTCTGCCAAGATCCGTAAGACCTTTTTGTCGGTTTTGCAGAATTAGATAGGAAAGAATTACCCAAAAAGCTCCATCTGGAATCCAATGCCAAGAGAAACTTAATTCAGGTAGCACACAGGATGCACCATTGGTTTCATGGAGGTTTTCCAGGGGGAGCAGGAATTGATACCAGTAGGGTATGATTAAATAATGAATCGGAATGAAAAATTGATCAATATGCAATGTCTATGCAGATGTGCACACTTGGTGGACCCTTCACACTGCTTGTAGCAGGCGATGCAAACCCAATGTGTACTGCATACGCGGCCACGCCCACACAATATCGCCAAAGTGCGCAGTGCATACAACGCGACGCGGTCAAAAACGGTCGAAAATTCAGTTCTTTAAAATGGAATGTTATAAAAGCGTTTCCAAAATAGGTTGTGTTGGTTCATCAGTTTTAAGGGGTATTACTTGAGCCCCCTTTGGTAAGTGCATGCTATAATATAAACATGTCCGCGAGCACTGGATTCGTTGCGCGATTGTAGAAATTCTTTCACAATCATTCTAAAGACAGCCAGATCATTTATTACGTAATTACACATTTGAAATATCAACAGATATCGTGAAAATTGATATGAAGATCATTGCGGTATCATTAGTTTTATTACAATTTTACACACACCTATCTTACGAATGGGCAAGGCACGCAGATCACGTTAGGCACTCAACCCTTGGCCCCTCAAAGCTGTACAATCTGCAGTGCGCCCTCTAATGGCAGAGTTGGGCATGTCTGCAATGTTGCATTATACATGAGTTCAGGGTGCACCCCATGAAATCGCTAGATTTCTACACGAAATGCCACGAATTATTTACAAGGGGTGCCATAAATGGAACCAACCACTGGGATATTTCTGTACTTCAGGAATTGAGGACTTGTTTCCAACTCGGGGTGATTTGGTTCACGAAAATCTCCAGCTCGCGGTTCTATTTTGCATAGAGGCGGACGGCTACATTAGACAGTGAGTAATTAGTTTGAATATCACTTTAGGGGTATTTTCGAGAAAGTTAGGGATAAAAAAATTCGCTCGGCCAACCATGAGAAATTAAAAGAAAAAGAATGAAAAGAAAACTGATTTTTTGCCACAATCTTGAATGTCCAGTGAAGCACGCGGGGACAACATGTTACTTAGGACCACTAGGCGGCGCTGCTTTTGTCAAATTTTACACCACATGTATTATGTTTCACAGGCGCGTACAGTGCGTTCGATTAGCTTACATGGAACAACCCTTACCTGGGGATGGCCGTGTGTGTGATATCAAACAAACAAGACTGTGGGACGAGGTTTAACCCAACAACCCATGGAAGCTAATCGAACGCATCCTTCGTGTAGTGTACTCTTCACTGCACTCTCTAGTGGTGGGGTTGAGCAGGTCCGCCATATTGCATATGATGTGTGTTCACGTTACCGTCAGGTCCCTACGATTCTTCCTACTTAATGAAGAGAGAAAAAGTCGTAAATAGTATATAATGGTAGACCAGATTATTTCTTTGCAAGTGCTTTAAAACTGTTGGGAATTTCAAGCCTATTTCCAGAGTTTCTGGAGTTTTTCATCAAGCTTAAAAAAGGATACGATTATCGTTTATACATTGAAGATATAACATTTAGTTAAATAAAAGAAATTGCGAAGAATATCACCAGTTTTCCCCTTGCTTAATGTACTTCAAATGTGTACGACACTAGGCGAATCTTTATGACAATTAATGATCAAAGAAAAGGAATGAATTAAAGTCAGCAAAAGACAAACAAAATTTAGCCATATTTGTGTACCGTGAACTAGTGTAACCTTGAGGTTTTCTTCCCAGGATGACATCATAGTTTTGTTCATAAATATTTAAAACACCATTTTTGTTGAAGCCAAAAAGACATAAAAATAATCCTTTAAAATAGAAAAACAACTATTGATATGAGGCTTGAAATATTGATGAGGCTTGATATAATAAGCCTCATTTTCAACGGCTGTATGTAAAACCATTGCCTGTAAAAATTGTGTGTAGAGAGAATTGCAACATGAATGTCATCATTACTGGAACCAAACTGACAGGTGTAACTGTGTGCCTTTGAACTTGCAACGGCAGTTGATATAAAATAGCAGTACACTTTACTTCACACATTATGAATACCCATTTTGTTTCCAAAATTTAAAGCTGGCGTCACTCTCTCCATGCACAGCTCTGGTTTGATGACATAAGTAGCGCCCTTTCATCTTGGGTGCCAGTCTCCAAGACGAGCCGCTGTTTCTTCTTGCGCCTCCTGCACAGAGAAGAATGACATCAGTGCAGGCCTACGAAGAAATATAGTAACTGCATGACCCGATTTCCGTTTTGAAATGTGAGACCATAGAATTTCGCGAGTCTATTGTCAACACATCTAATGATAGTTGGTTGTTCACATTTTCAAAAAAGAACCTATAACCCTTACGCGAAAGGAAAACGATTAGGTGTGCTACTTGCAAATTATTGGCCTATCTTATTTAAAAATGGGAAGGTCGTAACTGACGCCCTTACTAATTATTCTTGCGAGAATTCCCCTGAACACTGGCTATTAGATGAGCAAATGCTTGCATTACTTCATGCATATTCAGTAAGTAGTATTTTTTCTTATCCAGTTCCAATCTACTCTTTCTTATCTTTCCGGTCACAGTGCCAGGTTTGCATTGGTAACTGTGCCAATTCCCCTAATGCGACTGGAGGAATCTCCCGTTCCTGGTAAGCCCATTCGCTGTCACGGGTTTTAAGTAAACAATAGGGTGGTCTCCTGTAACTCTACAAGAAAACGCAAAGCGAACCGTTGTCAACTACTCCTATGTTTCAAATAATTTATGCACTTCTAGGCGTGTAGCGTTAACCTTGAGGACAATGGCTTCACTTCCAACAGCCGATTCCCTATTCAAGTTTATTTCCTATTCAAGTCAATGCTCCACGGTGGTGTACACACAACCAACGTTGAGAATGGACAGACGTCACCGTTAGGGGGCCTAGGCTTTGACTTACCCTTTTCCACATCGATACTCCCAGACACCAAACAAACATATCGCTATCATGGTTACTATGTAGCCACCTGCAATGGCAGTAAATGCATACGCAAATCCTAACAGGTCAGTTAGGAACCCACCAAGTAAAGGCCCAATCATTGACCTGTGAATAGGAAAAACCGGGACAAAGAATTTAATGTGTTCAGTTCATAAGCTATAAAAAAAACTACCCCCCAAAAAAATTACTCTCACAGGTGTTTTATGCAATATTGGAAATGGGCTCTGGCAAATCTTAAAAAAATCGAGCTTGAGCTGAAAAAATTATTGTGATTTGTTTCTATCAGTCACAGAATCAGTGTCACCCAAGGCTTTTACACTGCATCGCCGTTTTAGAAGTTTTCTTCTAAAACACTGACGGAACTGAGAGAAATGTGTCAATCGGACCAGTCAAGTAGTACTATAAAGGAAAATAGCAGCTTCATCATTACTAAAGTTGACTGCAGCAGCTTCAAATACCGAAACTGGCCACTGCGAGCTGCAACAAGGTCCTCTGTGCAAATAGGCAGCATCATTAACACCAATTTCCAGTAACGACACCGGCCAAAACTGAATCAAAGTTAGCAGCATCCCCTACAAACCACATGCTTCATTTTGTGTGTCTGTGCTTACCCCAATGAAAGTGCAGATGACCATAGTCCAGATATGACACCTGTGGCACCCAAATCAATGGCTATCCCGTTCCACCTTGAAAATCAATAAAAGTTTATCGGATAATCCCGCTGAAAAATGTTCTGCTGCTGTGTTTTCTTTGAAAAGTCGTTTTACATTATTCCTTAGAAATTCATTTCATAAACATCAGTCAAGATTGTGATCCAATTTCACATTACAAACTCTTATGCACGTTTGCATTTAGTCAAAGCAAAGACCTGTCCATAAATTTAAAGGTCGTAAAAAAATTAATCAGGAACGAAGCACTTACTCTGCCGAGATGAACATGTCGAGTAGAGCGGACACCGCGATCAGGGACAAAAAACTTGCACAAAAAGGAGTTACAAGCCAGGGAATCAGCTTCGACCTGTTGAAAGAGCCAGGAAGATGTATTACCTCAGTCAAGGATAAGACACGCTTGTGTTAAAGTGCCTTGCCCAGGGACACATGTACTGCAATCCCACTGGCTGAATGGTACCCACACTGCGCGAAATTCTCTACGTCCTAAATTCAGTTACAGAAAACTGTCCCTTTCCCATTATTTCATTTCACTCTCAGATGTATTATGTCTATTAATCTTCTTAGCAATGAAGTAGTAACAAAGCTTGTAGCCTGATTCTAGTTAAGAATCCTTCGCTCAGGGGCGGATCCAGAACCGTTTTTGGAGTGGGGCACACTTATTTTTTGGACATTTTCCCATTTATTCTTTTCATGTTGCAGGGGTTATTACAGAAATGAAATAGACCCCCCAAAAAACTAATCACTTTTGTTTCGTTAACAATAAACCTTTTGCAGGTTAAACAGTCCGTGGTTTCGCTTATGCCGCCATATTGGCCGTCAAGCGCAAGCATGGTAACGCGTGCAAATACACGTACGAGCACGGTTTCTTCGATGTCGCTGTAAAATGGTGAAGGTTTACTGTGCCATTTCCAGCTTCTGACTATATCGAGCCCTGTGAACACCCATCCAAGTGTCGGAAAATACGATTTTGTTCGTGGACTTCGTCATTGTCTTCTCGAACATCGATCCAAATTGCGTGCTACTTGCATCACATGTAGGTTTCACGAGTTGGCTTGACGGCCAGTATGGCAATCGAGTCTAAAGTCACGTGACAACTTGACGTCGGTGAATAGCCTCCATTGGCCTGTTTTCATTGGGACGGAAGAGCCATGGTCCCGTGCCCCTGCATCCTCTGTTGTCTTTGGTAGGTAGATTTGACCATGGAGGACGGACACAGAAGGGGTTTGAACTGCCCGGGCAATAGACCTTTTTTTCACCCACGTGACTGGATTGCGCTAAATGTAAACAATACCACCACGTGTGGATCGCCTTAGCCACGGTGATCGCATATATTCCTACGGGCAGCTTCAACCACGTGCAAGCACGATACACGTGCGAACGCTGCTTACTTGACCATTGTTTATCTTGAATAGGAAGGTTAACATCACAGCAGTATTCACTCATTACCATCACAACACATCACAGGTCCAGCACGATCGTGACATCACAGGAAAAAGGTTTATAATTTGGTCTATTACCGCTTTCTGGCATGCCCAGTATGTCCATAGCCACAGCACAGCGAATGCTTGCCACGCACCACCTGTTTCACAACCAGAAGCCCCCTTTGAACCCAATGATCATCGCCGCAATTTTTTGCTGGTAATCTGCATCCTTAGCACGTGTGCACAGCTGTACGGGTAGTTGAATATTCATGCCATCGTTGGTGCACGGTATGATCTGACAACATCAAATTTAATGCTTGCCCACTTACTTTTAGAAGCCCTTATGGAACGTTTTCTTCTGGACGTTTTGGAAATAAACGGCCAAGTTGTTTATAAGATTTTGTGTTTTATTTGAATAATGTTTATTACGGAATTTACACAAAAGGTATTTTATGAGATCTCATGATCACTCATTGTGATGATACAGTGCATTTTGTTTTTCATAAACTTAACTGTCCTGTGGTGGTCAACGTGTTGTTGGCCAGTCTTTGCCAAATTCTAACAAAGGCTTTGAAAACTGGAGTGAAAAAATAAAATTACAAACATTGCATGGATAATGGAAAAGTGCATTAAAATCTTAAAAATTATTCACGACGGCAAAAGTTAATCTAATGTTAGATACTTTTTCTTTCTATTCTTGGTCACTGCGATAAGTTTTAGTTAATTGCTACAATATTATTGGCCTCACTTGTCTGGTTAAGCTTCAGGCAGTAATCAGGCATTTTTGGAATGTTTACTATTGACCATATGAGCGGGCGGCGATGATCATCGAGCACTTTGATGTGCCAGGGTTGCAAGTCCTGTGTCCTTCCTCCATGATTTGACGTAATGAAACACTGTGGTGATTAATGAGCTACTTTATTAATGAGATAATTTGCAGAAGGAATTTTCAGAGCGAAAGTAGGTCTATGTACAGTTCTCCGTATTAGCTGCGATACTTACGAAGGTATTTTTAGAAGTGGTGAAGGCCCAAGTAAAAGAAAACATACACCAGCGCCAAAGGTGGCAATGACAGTCATAAATCTCGTAGTTTTCTGAAAATAAGGTCAAGCAGCTAGCTGTCAATTGAATGAAATCAATTCCACCTTTGTAACATTTTAATGTACCAGAATTGAATTATGGAAAAGTCTAATAAGTGGACTTCAGCGTTACGCGCTTGGTCATAGACAAGAAGCAGATATATTACAGATCTGTCCTTCACCTTTAAAAAGTCGATGGTAGTACCTGCTCATATAGGTCATGGTTTTATTGGAATTTGGTAAATAAAGTTGCTGTTTTCATGCTCTGTACTCATTGAGCAAAGCCAGTGGTATTTAGGGTCATATTTTTCCAAGCAACCCGTTTTGTATGTACACTTTAGCAAGTGTGTGGCAGAATTAATAACATGAGACCCAAGCGAAGTTAAAGGGAAAATGTTTGCAAGGATCATTTACAATAATAATGTACACTCATCTTAATTCAAAACAATCTTGTAGATGCGTGCAATATGCCGCCGCTAGAGGGCGTTCTAAAGAACCAATATCACTGCACTTGTGAACCACCAACCATATCGGTTTCATAATCACCAGTTTGTCAGCAACTCGTCCCCAAACGACTGACGTTACTGAATATGTAACTCCAAGGGTCACAAACACGAAGCTGTTCTCCAGAGTCGTAAAATGAAGCTGTCGAAAATCAAACAATACATTCTAAAAATTCATTTTGATTCGAGACCGTGATAATAGTTGCCCCATTAACATCTAACTTGCGTCTGACGTCAATTTTCAACATACTGGTGAACTATCAAGTTTTGAATTCACGAAGACATGCCTCGATGTTTTCCTCATGAATTGGCGCATAGTGAAAGCGACAGAAAATGGTCTTTGAGTGAGTTATCTTTACTTCAGTAATGATTTCACTCGTGATCTTTGGGCATAAACTGCGCATGCTCAAGAGGTGCACTCAGCTGTACCTCTGCTCTGCCTTGTGCTGCACAAACACTCTCGGAGGGTTACAAACGTGCAGACGCAGTGTTGGCACTCATGAGTGACACTTTAAGTTATCATGACTTCGGTGAAGATATCATTGATCTTTTGACATAAACTGCGCATGCAAATCTCTGTACATGGGCCTTATCTGTTAAGCGAACTTTTACCCGACTTTGTACTGCACAAACATCCTCGTAAGGCTGTAAACGCGTAGGTGCAGTGGTCCTGTTAGGCAAACAATTTAGTCAAGAGGATGGGGCACGAAGCTAAGCAGATGACCAGGCAAAAATTCCGTCGTACACAGAGACAGGTTCTCTGCATTACTTCACAGCTTAGTAACCTGAGTGAAGTGAAATCAACATTCCAAAGAAGACCCTTCAAAATGAGCCAGTTATTTAATCAGGGCATGGCAAACGTGAAGTGAGTTGTTGATCATTTGAGAACATCATTACGAGCGCGTGAGGTCGGACTTCTCTGTGCGGCCGGACATCAACTCATATGCACGGGAAGATACTGAAACCGGTTTAACGTCATACGTATTGTTCTCGAATGACCACGATTCAGACTGGCTCAGCATATCTGATGTCATAATAATTATGGCGTGTGCTTCTTTTTTTTCATTTTTCTCATCTTTCGTTCAATAAATCACAGCATACCTTTTCTAGATGAAGGGATAAGGTCGGGTCTAGGCAGGACATCCCGATAAAGCAAACTATCATAGCGAAAAGCGCCACCAAGACAGCCGGTACGCTCAACATCTGAACCACTGAACCACTTCTCTCATCTCCAGTACCTGTTGGTTAAGAGCTTTTACAAATAATAAGCAGCGGGGCTTTTACTTGTTGTGAGGACTGGAAGAGAGTAAGCATGGGGAATATCACACAGGTGGGCTCAGCACTATGAGCCAATGCAACGATGTCCACCAGGGAGTGAGATAGCATGTGACAACAAATACTATGCACGAAAGTGGGCTAGTAGGGAGACAAGTCAAAGTGATGGAAGTACCTCCGTGAGCAATGAATGTCAAGGGGTGTGACTAATTAAGAGACGTGATTGGTTGCGCGGGGTATAGTTAGTAATGTCATTTGTTCTGTTGAAGCTTGCACACAGGCAATAAAGACAACTTGTAAAGAAAGCATCAACTTTGTACGATTGCATCGTTTAAGCTCCTCAACATCTCTAGCAATGGAGTATGGCCAATAGTATGTAATTATTACGGAGTGCGGAGCAAGACCGACAAACCTTGGGAGATTTTAGGAACGTCTCCACGCCATAATCATGCAACAGAAGCTACCGTGACGGTTTGGCCACATCACGCACCGAGACAGCCTCTGTAAGACCACCATATGCTGGGCATCGTCGAGGGGGGATGCACAGAAGAGGGAGGCAACAGACAGGCTGGTCTAACAAAATGAAAGATCGGATGGACATGACCATGGCAGACGTCTTGGTTCAAGGCGCAGACAGGCCAGCATGGATAATAGCTTCTTATACCTCCAGCCCCCTGACGACTGGAGATGTTAAGGGCCTGAGACTCGGGGTTTTGTGTAGAGCCTCCCAGACAAGCAGCATTGAGTGAGGCTTTTGTAGGGGAGCGAGACCGCATGGTTGTTACCAGCGAGCTTTGTGTATTCAGCCCAATATAGCGTTCCGTTGGTACAAAGAATAAATTTTGGTTCAATCGTTTGAGCGGAGAACAAAATAAGGACGGTGCATGTAGACAGAGTTGAGGAAATGGCATGAGCGGAATGTAGATGAGCGAGCCAAGGACACGGAGCAGTGTCGATGTTTGTGGATCAGGTGTATACCGTATCGAAAAATAGCGGTGAACAGGAACCGACCTTGATTTCTCCCGGTTGCTCTCTATACGGATGACTAGTGACCAGAGCGGTTATTAGTAAGCCCAAACATCCACATTTAATTGAAGCTGTTAATTGTAGCTTTATTGTTAACTCTTTAATAAGCTGAACAGCGAGGTGGAAAGCCTTCCTCACGAGAAAGTAAGCTGTACAGCAAGTTCATTAAACAATAAAACAGAAGATTCCCAATTATCATTACTTAACTAGAACTTTCGATTACATTATGGGTCCCCAAATCAGGTTTCCGTATTGATGTCGACTTCTTTTCGCAGGTTTTAGGGCAAGCAACTTTTAGTGGTATACTTCCAACCGAGCAAGCCTGCATCACTTAGACTTGAATTCGAAATTACACTCCAGTCTGAGGGAGAAAATTGGGTCCAGAAGATTCCCTACCTTGTTGGGGCATCAACATGTAGTTCACGGCAACAGAAAGCAGGGTGAAACCCCCGAGAACGAAAAACGGGAGCTTGAAACCTCCGACCTGTTCAGAGACAAAAACAGGATTTCATAGCTTTAACGAGTTTCTGATAAGTGGAGAGCTTCTAATTTGAGAGGTCTTGCCGTCTGGACTTCGTGACTGGACCCTACCCTTTGTGCTTTGAATCATTGTTAAACAACAAAAACTTGCCTTAGCGAAGGCACACCCTCTAGCTCTCTTATGATTAAAATTTCTATCTACGTTTGTGCACAACCCTGAGGCAGCGGCGAGGCGGGGGGAGCGCACTCCCCATGAAAACTTGTCGCCCCCCGTGTTGCCCCCACTTGCATATCCTCATGCAATCACGATTATGTACATGACTGTCCAACATCCAGTCAGCCCCCCCCACTTTAACGTATCCCCTCCCTCCCGCTTGCCCCCGTGCTCAGAATCCTGGCTACGTCGCTGCCCTAAGGTCAGGACCAAATTGTAAATTTGAACATTTCACGTTGTGACGATGTCAAAACAAGTGTTATGGGTGACAGAAATCGGTGGGATCAATATGTAAATAGGGAGGATGTTCTTGAAAGCCGTGGAAGAGTGAACACTTGAAGACACTTACTTCAAAAAGCAGGCCTCCTATAGCTGGCCCGATCGCGAAGGACAAACCACTCATCATTTCGTTGATACTCTGTTGAAACAACGTTATCAAATGATGCTAAGGCCTCGTAGCATACCAGGCGAATCATTTGTAAAATGATTATTATAACTGTCGGGATACGCAACCCAAACTGTTCTTGAGCTCTTCATGGAACAATCGATGTAACTGGCTCTTCTTTTCCACTGCACTAATTTTTAAACAGATCATGTCAATCATGTAGAGCAGGAATTAAAAACTTGCAAGAAGACCAAAATGTTAAGGCAGTGGGGGTGCGCTCTCAAAATATTTACAGTGTAATATAATTTGCCTTCAAAACCAAGATGAGACAGACTGTCTGACCATTGCAGTGCCGATGTCGTCGGGGAAAATATAGGCCAAGATGGCCGACGACGCTGTGATGCAAGCAGATGAGCCGAGCCCCTCCATAATCCGAATGACGAAACAGAACGCTGTGAAGGTAGCTTCAGTTGGCATGTCAACCATCAATCTGTTCGGTAAAAATACCGTAAGTTATCGATCACCTTGGTGTTCAAGTAAACCGAAAACAAAAGCTTGTTTTGCTATTAAGCTGTACAAAGTGTATAATCAAAACCAAACCAAACCTATACATCAACCCAAACCCACCCCCCGTAACCCAAGTCGACCCAAACCAACGCAACGCAACAACACTACTTACCCAAACAAAATATCACAACTGCCGGTCACAAAAGCTCCAGCCAAGAAGACAAAGCGGGCACCAACGAGGGGAAGCTGAGGAAATTGAAAGAAAATAATTCCAGTTTATAGGGAAGTACTTAGGATGGTTAGCCTATCGTTGGTGCATGCGATAAAGGCACAAAAATACCCATAAAGCGTAGTAATCAATCTAGAAAGAGCTGGTAATGATACCTCAGACAATAGATTCACCTTTTTTTCAGACTTGGCAAAAAGCTTCCCTCGCTGATTTTGCTTCTGCAATATCAGCCACGACTCGTGGAATTTTAAAAATCTGTGCATACGGAGACCACTAAAGGACCTAAATAACTCACAATTTTTCCCCAGATGGGTGCTCCAATTACAGCTGCAGTGGAAAATGTACTGAACACTAGTCCAGTGACTGTGTGCGACATTCCCTTTGCTTTAGCCTGCGACAAAAAAAATGTACAAATAGGCTGGGAGAGAGGGCCATGTGTGGGTACGTTTGTGTGTTTATTTGTTCCATGCATTTGAGAAATGCAGTCAGTAAGCGTAAAAGCAAGTCAAGAAAATAAGGCGTCACGATGGGACTTGCAGAGAGGGAAAAATAACTTGTGTTCGAACTTTTCATTTGAAAGAAAACCCTTTCTTAAGGATTCGTTGATATACAGGTGTGAACCATTCAAATGCATGGAAAACGAAAGGCTACATTTGAGAAATATTCTTATTCTAGATAGAGATAAAATGATACGCATCGTTTTCTCCCTACCTCAGATGGAAAGAACACCGCTATGATGGAGAAGCTCAGTCGTATAGCAAATGTTGCCAATAAGACACTAACAAATGTGATTTTCTGGTGGTATGTGAACTTGCTGGTCTGCTGGACGCCATCTTGGCCGAAAACGACGCCCATGTCGCAATGATGGCTCTCAGTGTCCATAGATGTTGCCATGATTGTCCTCTCATGCGATTGGTTGCCGCAATTGACGTCACCATAACAGTCTTCCATCGGGGAAGTTTCCTCTTGAAATTCAGTATGCTACGTGATGGGTAATCCTCAACGGGATAGTGACTCAGTGACTGCAAAAAACATCAATGCTAACGTCAATTTCAGACAAACTTTGCACAAAATTAAAATCCTAAGTCTCTAGTCCAATACTGGCTCAATGGTATTCAGAACAAAACTCAGATCACTATACATGATACATGACGCATTTAAAGACAGTTTACGCTTGAAATCAAAATTTTCACACATAACAGCATAATTTGCCATTTGACACAGCCTTCTCGACCTCTTATCGATTTCTTTGTTTCCCCTTCCTCAAATTTCTGGAGGCCGATATCTTTGGGCAGCCAAAGATCCCTCGACCACCGGCAAATAAATCACAAAATATTATTCAGCTGTAACTCGAGCCAAGTGTGGTAGTTCTACATGCTGCCTTGGACAGGTGGGCAACAACTGGTTGAAGCAATTGCGATTTGCAGACATTCGCAGTAATTTCTATGCAAAGAGAAAATGTAAACAATCGTCAGAAATAATTATCAAGATTCGCAGCAGTACACCCAGAGTGCCAGATTTTGCGGTGAAACCAAGGTTGTATCTCCCGACAGAGAGTGTGGGTGTCTACGACGGCTGTGACAAGAGCCTGCAGAGTAAATAGTAAGATATCGAGATCGAGACGTAGATAAAGAGAGAGATATCGATAGTTATGGACTAGTAGTTTAAAACTCTAAAACCGGTTTGTAACTCTTGCAGTATTCCAGTATGGTTCTTTTCACACCATGACGTGATATTCAGGACATTGATAATTTTCTGTGAGGAAGATACTCATAAAAATGAAAACCAAACAGAAAAAGGCTGATCAACATACACCCTTTGTTTCGACAGTTAGATTTATGGAGTCAACCTATTTGTTTTGATGTGTTTGAAAGTAATTGTGCTTGACACGCTCTACACGTAGATCTTAACCATTTAGAAGATTGTATTATTTGTTTTATGTACCAATATAAAGCTAAAGTTCAGACCATCCAGACATCGAATCATTCATAGCAAACACCAGCTTCCACGCGCTAATCCATTTCTACTCGGCTACACAAAATGGTCAGTGCAGTGGGAGTTACACTGTTTGAATCAATACGCCAAAACCTACCTTAGAGAACCTTGAATTCCGAAGATTAGGGAAAAGATAGCTGGATTGAACACTGTACTTTTAATACGGTTATGTTCACAGTTCTTTCGTTCTACACCGATGTTTTCTTCAGTTCATCGTCCTAGACAGGCTGTGCCCCCCACAAATTCCCGGTGTCCCCATGTGCCCCCCCTCCACTGAAAAAAAAACAATTGATGAATGGATATTGAACAAGGCTAACAAACCATATGCAGCAAGGTATGAGACGGAGAGAACCCCTCTGCATTGTTGGTCATTGTCTCGCAGGAATCTGGGGAATTCCTTTCAGACATCTTGGGGGGTGTGTGTGTGTGTTAAGTAACAATAGTCTGGAATGTGTATAGGGATTGGACATGTTGGGGGTACCCCTCGGTCTCATTTCTTGCTGGGTATATAACAAACGCTTGTTCCATACGATGCTGGTGCCCGCCTCGTGTGCCCTCTCACTTGTAAAATCCTACAGCTACGCCACTGGTCCTAGACCATACACGCGCTCAAAATTATGACACAACATAGGGAATCAACGTTTCAATTCATCGTTGAACTTCGGACCGTCCAACCATGGTCCAACTGAGTAGGACCGGACATATCTGGTTGTTGTTTGCCTACCGTCAATATGACTTAGCGCTGTGACGTCTGGAGTCTACGACCACATACAGAGACTTTTGCCGGGCTGGGGCCATGTACTACGGCACTAACTTTCGATCGAAAATAATTTAAACTACGACGGTGTAGGGTTTTTCGTTATTTCTTTTTATTCTATCATCATATTTTTGGTGGTATGCTTTTCTTTGTATGTGTTAAACAGACGTAAATACTTCAAAGTAAACACGGCCTACGTGCAAAAATATATTTACAGTCTAATACTCTGCAGAGAGTTGTAATTGTTAGAGTTACAAAAAGGACGGTTACCAAGAATGACATATGATGCAAGATATGGGGTGGAGAGACCCCCCGCCTTTGTGTTGGTCATTGTTTGATCGGAATCTCAGGAATTCTTTACAGACTTCTGAGGGGACGTGTTAGGTGACTACCGTCTAGAGTGTGTATAAAGGGATTGGACATGTGGGTGGGGGTACCCATCGGCCCCATATCGTGCACGGTATCAAGAATGATTTTTTTTCACCCAACAGTCGGATACCTACCTTTGCTCTGTACGTGGTAGCCTCATCAGCAACATAGGGTAACAAATCCTTTTCATGAGTGAATAACTTTATACTACAGTGAATATTAAATGGTAAAAAGTATGAATAAAAGAAGTACCAAAATTGAGACATAATTGCGATGTAGGTAGACAATAGAACTCGACAGGTGGACAAGCAGGCACCGGCATCAGGTTATCCATTTGAACCACCATACACAGTCTCGGTCTGACTTACGGACATAGCATGCTGTCTGTCGGAAACGTTGAGTACCACCGGTTCTTTTCAGAACCACACATACTCAAAAAAGAGATATCCATGATGCTACCGCAAACCTACCTAGTTTACACGCACAGTGGCATAAATTTGTGCCGGAGATTTTTGGGGAGTGGGGGTGGGGAAAGGTGGGGGTCGACTTGCCTGGTCATGAAAATTTGAAAAGTGGTGGGGGAGGGAGACACCATAGGCCTATGACTCCATGTAGAAGTCAATGCTCATGGTATGGATATCTGTAATACGTATTTCGAATGGCATATTAATAGCTGTTAAACTTGCATATTTCCTTTTTGAGTGATATGGAATACATTTTAGTCGTTAGAAGTCTTAAAAATTCTTCACAAACTGGTTTAATTTTTGACTCGCAACAAAAAGTGTGTGTGTGTGTGGGGGGGGGGTGATTTACACCCGTGACTGCACGTACACCGTCAAAGCATGGAGGAAGGACTTCTCTGGCACATCAAAGTGCTCTATGATCATCGCCGCCCGGTCAGACAAATAATAGTAAACATTCCCAAAATGCCTGACAGTTCCTGCAGCTTAGCCATACTACAAAACTGGATCCAGTAATATCCAAGCAATATTTGTATTGTTTTCTTTGCAATTAAGTACAACTTATCGTAGCGACCAGGAAATAGAAAGAAAAGTATCTAACATCAGATGTACTTTTGCTGTTGTGAATAATATTATTAAGATTTTGATGCACTTTTCCATCATCCATGCAATGTTTGTAATTTTATTTTGTCACTCAAAAACATCAGTTTTCAAAGTCTTTGTACGAATTGGCTAAGACTGGCCAACAACATGTTGACCACCACAGGACATTTAAGTTCATAACTAACAAAATGCGCTATTTCATCACAAGGATTGATTATGAAATCTCATAAAATACCTTTCTATATAATTGCCGTAATAAAAATGATTCAAATAAAACACAATACCTTATAAACAACTTGGCTATTAATTCCCAAAACAACTCCAAAAGAAAGCATTCGAAAAAGGCAATGACTGCACACGAACACTCAGGGCACACAGCTTAATACAAGCAACTGCGCAAGCATTAAATTTGATATCGTCAAATCATACCAAGCACCAACGATGGCAGGAATTCATCATCCTATACTGCAGTAAACAAAGTTTTCAGGATGCATATTACCAGTGAAAATTGCGGCGACGATCATGGGGTACAAAGGGGGCTTCTGGTTGTGAAACAGGTGGTCCGTAGCAAGCATTCGCTGCGCTGTGGCTATGAATATACCTGGCATCTCAGAAAGCGGTAATAAAGCTTGAAAGTTGACCCGTGTTAACGCGCTTCCGGAACCCTTGGATAGGAAAAATAACGTGCAAAGATTTTAGAATTTGTAATATTTTTTCGTTCAGTTACTTCTTACATAATCCAACTCGGAAAAGGGGCTTTGGAAAATATTTGCTAGTATATCAGTTATAGAAACTGAAACATCACCTGACCTTAAAGAAAAATAACTTGCCAAAAATTGACCCTCACTTCCAAAAATCTAAAATACATGAAGAACAGTGCAATGCGGCAGTCTCGTACACAGATGAACATTAAATTTACAGTTTGAAATTTTATAGTAGTCCGTCGGTAATAGCCGAAATAAACACACATCAAAATATTTTACACAGCCTTATAATTTATAAGTAATAAACTGAAATCAATATTCCACTTCAATTACAAAAGATTCCAATCTTTTATCTAACCTTTGCTGACAGCAATTGCGTGATGCCAACTCAACGGAATCTGGAACCCAACGACTGCAGGTAGGTAAATCTTTGCAACGTTGTACAACTTCGTTTTCACGTAAGCACAGGCAGTGAAAACAAACTTGCATGAACAAGAAGACCTAGGTACGATATCGCCAGAAGTGAAAGGTCGTTAAAAAAATTCGTTTTTTACCCATCTCCATGTGACTTTTCCAAAATATTACTTGACGGAGACAAAGGTCAAATTCCAACATGAGTGTTTCATGGGGTGGTTTCAATTAGTAATTATTCTTCCAAAAATTACCGAACGTGTTAGACAGCCCTGCGTAAAATCCCCATAGGAGGACCGCGCGAGGGTTCCCGAAGCTCGCTGCGTGACCTTTTACTTTCAGGCTCTATTGGCCAGATGCTATAGCCCGTGCAGACTCCTTCCGTGTCTTTCCTCTATGGTCAAAGCATCAAAAAGCTGCTCAAGCATATCAAAACGCGGACACAATACTGCAGGCCTACGTGTGCATGTACATGCACGTTAACGTCACTTGTGCGCACGTAGGTACTCAATAAGACAACCACACAGGTACTGGCACGTGAATGAATGATCCCAAAAGGTGTCATTTTCGTTTGAATGTGCAAATACATGTACAAGGATTTAATGAATCGCGATCAGGCCAACACGAGGTCAAGACACTCACCAATCGTTGATCCCACGACGTAAAGCTTCCCAGAAGACGATGGAATGGCCCCTTTATATAGAAAAACGAGTGAAATTCCCCGGCTCAACACGCTAGTTCGGTTCAGTCTTCTATCCTGACCTCGTGTTAGTGTCCCACTGGACTGGTCCCCGTGTAGGGACCGGTACTTTTGCTGGCTTCTGGGATCCGTGGTTGGTTTAGTTCTGCACATGCGCAAGTACCTTTTCTATTTATAGAGATGATTTTTACATCAAAAATCGTTTAGCGTCGAAGGCGCAAGATGGATAACTCCGCCCAAAAGGTGTAATTACCAGGGGCGCCATTTGAGCAAGCGATACGCCTACGCTGTTCCCTGTAATGCTTAAGCACAGGCGCACCAAGTGTACGTGCCTGCCGCGGCGCCTGCGCCTTAATGTGCATTGCGCAGGCGTATCGCTTGCTCAAATGGCGCCTATGCGATTACAATGTTTTACGTGTATTCACGGTGAAGTCTCCATCTTGCGCCGCTACGCAGCGCTATCGAGTACCAAAGTGTGACGTCAATGTGAACCAGAAAGTGCAGTGAAAACGAATGGAGTACGCGCGCGTGTTGGTTCACACGCCGCCGTGGTTCTCGTGCTAATGCCTTTTACACACTAATTGTGCGCGTGACGTATTCACTTTGGTACTCTATGGTCGAGTTCGGGCAGCCTGTTCTTGACACAGGTTTCTTGTTCTCGCGCTCGAAAGGCGGGAACACGATTCAAGAACACTGTTCTCGGAACAGGATCACACACCACATCCTCGTCAGGGGTTTTACAAGAACACACGGAAAAACTCGTGAGATTTTGATTTTGAACAGATGCAAACATGGCAAAACGTAGAGTGATGGCTTACAAAGCTAGAGACAATAGGAAATTTTGAAAAAGTGTCATTAATTATTCTTCATAACACAGAAATGAATGTTCCTACTTAAACAGAAAAGAATTCAGCCCAGTTTTCCAAACATTAACTCTCAAATAACGTAATGATGGGACGCCGCCATGTTGCATGTCTCTAACTACCAGCGAAAACCCGTTGTAAGTTCCCAGCATTGGAGCGGCTGAACCAACAATAACAAATTGACCTGTTCGTGCACATACGAGAACAAGCCGCCCGAACTCAGCCTGTACGATCTATGGTTTACATAGAACCTCTCGTGTAGTGCGTGAGAGCCGAACACGTATGAGACTCTCTTTCACTCAGTAATTACGGAAGCAGTGAGGCGTATTTACCTGCTTTTTAGGGAAATTATCCTAAATAAGCAGAGGTGGATCCTGAGCCACCCCGGGGGGGGGGACAAAACGATTAGGGTTTTTCAAATACGTGTATCCATGTATGGTCTCTCTGAGGTATGGGGCTACGGCTTTTTCACAATTTTGAAAGGGAGTCCGCCTCCAATAATGACTTTCCCATTATATTTCAAAACAAGGATTGCTGAGCGAATGATCCCCTTGCCCGTAGAATCTGCCTTTAAATAGAAGCCACTGTATAATATCTCATCGAATACCCGAACAGCTTAACCATGACATTTTTAGTAAAACTTTGTAATTTATATTTCTGCATTGATGACTGGGCATAGTTTGCCAACTTAGTGAGACCGCAACTTAGTAAGTGAAGGGATATTAACCTCGACTACTCTTTGTTATCTTCTCAGTGCAGTAACTCATTGTGTGCAAAAGTAGTATTGTTCCGGTTACAGTTAGTCGTGTATGAGTTCAGTTAGGCATGACCATCTCATTGTGGGTACGAAGGCCGATCCTTCGAAAGTCACAGGCTTGAAGCTCGTGTTGCTTTGCAATGAGACCTGTACTGTCTGGTATATACACAAACAGGCAACGAGGTTATGGTTGACGATACCGCCAGGCGTTTATCCTCGGGGAGGGAGTGGGTTGGCGATTTTCATATTCTTTCTTCCCTGTATCGTATTTGTCGCTTTGCCTTTTTCTCTTCCTTTTTTATATTTCATATTTCCCTGGCCGACAGAGCAGAACTTCCCGGTCAATAAGCAACCAATATCACATGGAAATCAAATGGAAGACAAAACACAGCAACACAAAGGGACTACTACTAATACACCCGTAACCACAGCTGTTAAAGTATCTCTAGGTACCAATATATACAAATATCGGCCTATTTACGAAATATGCACTAAAAAGTAAGTCTTAAGTGAAAAATAACAACTCGTTATCAAAGCACATTGCTTAGATCAGCAGTAAATTGCAGCGATCAAAGCTCAGTTACTGTTCATGATAGCAACAACCACAGGCAAAAATATTTTTAACAGTAAGCTAGAACTAAAAAAACCATGTCATATTCTGTATTTCAGTGTGAATCGGGATGATGTACAATCATTTTTCCCCACTTTCATTCGGTTTCTAATTTCAGTCCACAGAAGGAGAAATCATGTAAACTGGTGGCCAGCATCGTGAACAATAACACGCAAATTTAAATTTTACCTATTTACAATAAATTAGCCTGCAGGAAACAGTAAAAGCTATAAGCAGACAACAATATGATACCTGAGCTGTTTTCAGTAAACAGACACAACATGTTTCATTAACTGTACCATGTAACAGACTATGTCGACAATTCTCTCCAAATGTAAACACATAATAACATTCAGCGAGGTAAATTACGTATGCAGAAATTATATTGGTGAGTTCCTTCTCTTCATGACAAAAAGGTTCAACGTTGAGGGACCCAAGCACTGCAGTTTGTCTAGTATCTATGTGTACATTCAAAACTAAACTCAGTTTATTCTCAGCATTATCAATGTACGTGCCATTGTTTCGTTGCAATTTCTCGTGATTTAAAACCGTCAATGAGAAATTCAGTACTTCGATACAGAACACTAATCCCTTCTTGTCAACTCTAGTTTACCATGTTACTTTTTATCCTCTGTTTGTGTAGTCTTGGTAATACGCCGTTTCTTGTTTTTCTTCATTACCTCTGTGACTTCTTTCAGAGTTATGTTTGTGTATATTCTTTGCAATGTATTTGCTTAATATTTGTTGAGATTCATTTAGGGGATTGAATTCAACAAGCTCTGCTTCTCGCGAGATCTCTCCATCCTATAGCCCTACTGGTTTATTTGTCTCCTAAAATCAACAGAACTTGTTTAATTATGTTAAGTGGCTTTTTTTCTATTTTAAATGAGGTAGTTGTTGATATTGTACTTTAGCTCACAGATGGACATTAAATCAACACTTTTGTATTATAAATTGTTTGGTATAAGTGATGACCTTTCGTGTTCGGTTGAGTCAGACTCCAGCTCAAGCCGTGATCTATGTATTCGTCTCCTGCAGTGAGGTTACAATAGAGAACGTGTTGATTTTTTCAGCATCTACGCAATTGTGGCTTTACAATAGCAACAGAAAACCTTCACGGGTATTAATACCAAAAGGCAGATGAAAAAATTGGCGATCACAAATCATACCTATTTGTTAAATTGCAGCAGGCTCGCAGTTGAAAGTGAAAATGCTTTATAAGTAAGAAAAGCTTTCATTTTAAAGTCCTTGCAGGTTTGCAAAAGACTTCGAAATTTTCCAGGGAATTTCAAATCTTGCTAGCGGTACTTTCATCACGAAAACCCCGAATGCCTGAGTCAGGCTGATGAATTTACCTTAGATGAGTTACTTATATATCATGGCGGCCAAAAACATGATAATTGATAATCTAGCGTAACTGGATGCTTGACCAATCAATTGAGACTTGACTTAAGACATGACCATACTGATTTGACCCTTGACCAAAGAGACTCGATACATGACGTCCGTTTTCATATTACTTGACTGAATCGAAACTACTTCAGCTCTACTTAACAGTTGCACTTGTCCTGACTTCGAACTAGATCTCAGCCCAAATTGAGATTTTGAAATTGAGTGTCTTGACCTAAGCTGTGAGATACGACTTGGCCTAACTTGACTTAAGAGACTGGAGACGAACCAGATTGTCTTGAGACTTTAACCAAGTGACTTGAGACCTGACCTAAGCAAAGTTCGACTCGAGCGAAGCAAAGAATCTGGAAACCTCAAGAGATTGAAATGAGACTTGATCTCAGCCTTACTTGGACTTTTACCACATGTCGTGGTTCAATACTAGAGTGACTTGAAACTTGGCTTCTTAAGCTTAATTCTCACTCGTTTGTTCATTGCAGTACCATGTACTAACCCTTTTCCACACTGATACTCCCAGACGCCAAAGAGACAGACGACCAACATGACCACAAGACAACAGCCAGCAAGAATCGTCGTAGTGATTGGAAATCCAAATTGCTCTGTCAGAGCGCCCGCTATTATCGGACCTGCCATGGTTCTGTCAAGAGATAAATAAATATGCAAAAAGTGAAGCTTTACAAAGATTAAAACCCACTGCTTCAACAGCATCAATATTTTCCACCGTCTCAAACTCGGCGTTGCTGTCATCACAACAATTTACCACTTTCGCCGCAGCAATTTGTTATCACCGCTGTTAGCATGGCAGTAATAAACAATGGAGGAAGGACACAGGAGCAGTTACAACTCTGGCATCTCAAAGTGCTAGATGATCATCGCCGCCCTGTCAAACAAACAATAGTAAACATTCCCCCCAAAATGCCTGATTACTGCTTTCAGCTTAGCAGGACAAGTGAGGCCAATAATATCTTAGCAATATTTTGTGGTGTTTTCTGAACTACAAAGTATCGCAGTGACTAGGAAATAGAAAAAGTATCTAACAGTAGAGTTACTTTTGCCGTCGTGAATAATTTTTTAAAATTTTAATGCACTTTAATTGTCCATGCAATGTTTGCAATTTTATTTTGTCACTCCAAAAATCAGTTTTCAAAGTCTTTGTATGAGTTCGGCTAAGACTGGCCAACATGTTAACCACCACAGGACAGTTAAATTCACGAAAAACGAAGTGCGCTGTTTCATCATGAGGAGCAATCATGGGATCTCATAAAATACCTTTTTGTGTAAATTCCGAGGTACAAAATGATTCGAATAAAACATCAAATATTAGAAAAAACTTGGCTATTTAATCCCAAAACATGTCCAGAAGAAAGTGTTCGATGAGGCAAATAACTGCACATGAAGACTTTGGGTAGGCAGCCAAATAAAAGTGCGCAAGCATTAAAGTTGACGTTGTCGGATCATATCAAGCACCAGTGATGGCATGTATATTCAACTTCCTATACTGCAGTACGCAACTTTTCGGAATGCAGATTACCAGCGAAAAATTGCGGCGATAATAATGGGGTACAAAGGGAGCTTATGGGTGCAACACAGGTGGTGCGTAGCAAGCATTCACTTCACTTAGGCTATGGACATACTGGACATGCCATAAAGCAGTAATTGGCCAGATATTATAGCCCGGGCAGTTCAAACAACAGCAAGCACAAGCAGAACGTCAGCGGCACGTACTGAGACAAGGAGCATTAACATGACACGACGGCAGCTGCTGCAATTAAGCCAAAACATACCCAAAGGCAAATCCACTATTCCAGATGCCAGATATTATGGACGTTAACCCGAGATTGTTTGGGATGCCGTACCACCTGTTGACGAAGATAACCAACGCTTTAATGTCAGTAGTTGACAAAGTATATCATTGCAGCATTTATGTCTCTTAAAACTCCCCGAACTAACATGTTTATGCCGTTCTCCCTTTTCGCTTCACCTACTATCACATATGAAGCAAGATATGAGACTGAGAGAACCCTCCTGCTTTGTGTTGGTAATTGTTTCACTGGAATCTGAGGAATTCTTTTCAGACATGTGAGGGGATGTGTTAGGTAACAATAGTCCAGCGTAGTACAGTAGTATTGGACATGTTGGAGGGGGTACCCTCGGTCTCATTTCTGGCTGGAAATACATGTATACTATCTATCTTTGAATTGAATCGCTCGGGTTTACATTATTCCTCAATGGCTGGCCAGAATGATTATACATATTGTTTCCGGAAAGACCATAGCAAGGGGCAGTCAACAGCACGAAATCAATCTTATTTCAGAAAAACATGATCTACGGTTTCAGAATTCGACTCAGACTCACTCAGCAGAGGTAAACATGTCAACCAACGTTGGCATGGCGACCAGAGCGATCACGGCGGATCCAAAAGGAATCTCAATTATTGGTATCAGCTTCGTCCTGAAGAGGGCGCAAAGCAGGTATTAGCTCATTTTCCCATGTTATATTCCCTAAAATCGTCACTTCAGTTCCAAGAGTATTACAATAAACACGAATTCAGAAACACGGTATAAATGCAGTGTTAAGCCCCTTCTAAAACATCAAATATCTAGAAATATGTCAGTCTACAGACTTTCTGCTTCAAGTCTGTACACTTGCAGAAAGAATGGAAGTTTCTTTCTCAAATATCATTGTAAACTGACAAGAAACTGAGGGAGTCGCCAGAGGCGGGAAACTTACGGGGGGATTTTCAGCAGAGGTGATGGCCCCACTAACAAAAAGAAGACTGTGGTTCCCCACAACCCCATGACGATCATGATTCTCGTGGCTTTCTGAAACCGAAATTATCAAATCACCCCGGTGAAAATTAAGCAAGTAAAAATGGCTAGTTTGGTGTTCGAACTGCACTTACCAGTTTGGTAATTGCAAAAGGCAAGGGCACATGGAGAAAAAAGCTTTGGAAAGCCAGTCTGAAAAATCGACAAATGGTTGGCCTAATAGGGCAGACCTTACGCATGCATACTGCTGTTCTCAAATGACCTCAGGAGCACCTCGTCGAAGTCTATTAAACAGCGCCAGGCCATTTTGACTTCAGGGTTTAGAGGTCTACGTTGCAGGTAGCACAATTACACAACGGAATCTTCACTTGTTTCACAGCGATAATACGAACTAAATCTAAAATGGGCTTCAACAAATGAAGGAAAAAATTCTTTTCATATCTTACATAAAAAATGATAAAAAGATTCTGCCTATTATGCCTTTGATTCATGGTTAATGATTCATGTTTTACTTGTTGGCCTTTTAATAAAACTGTTTCATTTTTCTCACTTTCCTCAAATGTAACCTTAACCTAGCAGTATGAGTATGCCCTTAGCCTCACAATTCACAGGGGAAGCTTGAAACACAGCATGACCCGAGACAGCAAAGATTCTAAGGCCTACAATTCCCAGCATTAACACCCCCATCGATAATGGCCCCTGCCCATCATCTAACTTACCTTTGCGTCTGCGACAGCTCCCCAAAATACGGAGGACAGCGCGTACACGAGACCAAAGCTCAAAAATACCAAGCTGATCTGTATCACTGTAAAATCAAGCTGTGAAACAAAGCAAGAATCGAACCCAAAATGGTCATGTCAACATCTTGCCGCGGGTATGATAGAGTCCAACAGCCAGGCGCAATCAATGTTTCGAGACTTGGAAAGCGTCGTGTTCCTCGCCTACCTAAGGTTGCCGGTTAAGACAACTTCTTTGAAGAGAGTATAGATTTGGTAGTAATGGGAGCACCAAGGCAGGAAGATATCTAGTTTGCAATGTCAGCACTTTCTTCATACAGGTCTGTGAAAGAGACACGCAGTCTTTTGTGTGTTAGGATAAGGCAATGGGTTTGCCAAAAGTCAGGGGCTACCACATGCATAGTCGTGACCCTCAAAACTATATAATGGTAAAGTTCTAAAGTGCAACCGCTAAAGAATGACTGTGTCCGAATATTGTGGCTGGGGCTGGCGAGACCACGAGTAGTTTACAGCGGCTGCTGTAACTCTCCGTAGACCAGCTCACTACAAGTCGCAGCCAGTTGATTCCGACAAAGCCAACGTCTACAGTCGGTCTGTGCTCAATCAGTATAAACTCATTTACAACTACAGCAACGTACCTCCTTCAAATGAATGGAGAGAATAGGATCAAATGATGCCATGCATACAGAGATTACAACGATGGTGAGTAAAATGATCCAAATGGCCGGTATTCGCAAAACCTGGATCAAGGAACCCGTCTCTTGATTGGTACTTCCTAAGTAAATAATATAATGCAATATAGTATAATTCAATAATGTATGCCGATAATGGGCGGCGTATTTGTTGAAAACGAAAATATGTCAATATTCCATGCATCGATACTTTTTCTTTGGTTTCAAACTCAACCCAATACACGTATATAAACCTAATACAAGCATTTCTGTGGTGAATATGGTCAATAGATTTTATACTTGATATTGAGTTTACATCGAGCAAACACGTACTTTATAAAAATGAATATCTCGTATTACAGTACACATTTAAAGAGCGGTGCGCGTCTTCGGTGTTCGTGACAGACTACAAAACAATCATTACTGACTGCTCTCATAATCTGTAACGCTGCCAGCATTTTGGCAGATTACATTGAAATTTATAATCACTGGAAGCACAACCTGAAACCGTTCATTTCGAGGTCACTGTAAAAACTGCGCTTTGTGCCCATGTTTTGTGTTTGGTAATGTGCTCAAAATAATGCAATTGTTCAAATTCTAAGCGCATTCTTCAGTGTGAAAAATAAAGGGATGCAGGGAACCTTAATGACCAGAAGAGGGTGGACATAAGATAATAATTCTAAATATAAACTACACTGACACTTCAACTACAAGAACATCAGGTAACATAGGTTTATAGCTCCCTTATTATGCTTGATGCTTTTCAACCAGTATCAATGGAATGAGGTTGAGAAAGAAGTAGGTCTTTGTTGGTCATGAACTTGATGCCGTTGTTCTGGCTCTAAAATGGAAAAACATGTCATGTTTATCAGTGCACCTCATTAAACCTTTACCTAAACAGATATACGTATCATGAAAACACAACTCACCCTGTTGAGGCATCAGGAAGAAGTTGACGGCGTCGGCTACCAAAACAAATCCACCCAGAGTAAAGAAAGGAAGCTTAAAACCTCCTGCCTGTTTTAAAACATACAGTTCAAAGGGTCAACCAAGTCTGGGAACTCATTAAGACAAAAAACCTGCAAAAATTACGTGGAAAGTAAAGTAAGTGTTTCATTACGTTACTTACGGATGCAAACTTGCTCTTACATTGTAAAGTAGACCACCGATAGCAGGCCCAACTGCGTATGACAGCCCTCCCATCATTTCGATCAAGCTCTGAAAGAAGAAAAGCAATAAAAGTACTCTGTTACCGATATGACTCAATGTCACTGTCAAGTTTTTACAAAATTTACACAAGGATCACATCGACGCAAAGAAATTGTTTACCGAACCTGTAGTTATACTGTGGACCTATATCACCGCACTGGTCATACACAGATCGACTCCAATTTTATATCTACCAGACAACCATTTTCACAGCAGGCTTGCATTGTCATATCGATTTTTTACACCTTTCTGGAACCGCATCTTTTATACCGATCTGTTTGCAAATACCTTATAACCAAGTCTGTGCGCAGCCTGCCCGCTAATTAGCCTCCAACGCTCTTGCAAGCATACCGGTATGTGATCTCGTTAGTGTAAAAAGAGATTACACTTATATCCCTTTCAAAGCAAAAGGAAACCCACCCATTGCGTCATTCACGGGCCAAACATAGCGTGGTGAATAGAATCGTGGCAGTCGGATGATTTACTTGAAAGCAAAACTTGCTTCGTATTTTGCTCGACAAATATGATGTATCGGCTACGTCTATGTACATATACAATCTTCCTTCATGCAATGCGAGACGGATAGCTGGTCTGGCTCTGGTAGCTGACGACCGACATCCTGCAGTTTCTGTACACAGAGGCTGGGCATATATCTCTCGTAGCATTTGATTGGCCTTTAAGTTATTGCGAATTGAACATTTTGCACGAGAATCACCTTTCAATAGTAGTGCATGTAAACGTTTACGTGCGTTGATGGAGTACATGAACGTGCACCTGTGCACACATAAATCATGGCCGACCGGTCGAAAGAGAGCCAAAATTGAAATTGATGAAACTAACAAAGACCAATTCGCAATAGCTTAAACATAATATGGTAACCCTTTTCAAACACTCTTTAAGATATTAAGATATGCAGCGTGTGTGGGAAAAACAATTCAAATTTTTGAGTTTAAAAAACCCTTTTTTAACGTTCCGAAATGTGACGTACACAGACATCTTTCACCCCATTTCCTCCCAAATGTCACTTTTGAGTAACAAGAAACACATCACAAAATGAAATCTGAAGCTTGATTACATTACTCTGGAATAAATTCAGCAAACCTTTATACAATGCGGAAGATCTCCGCAGATGGATTTTGGTATAGTCGTTTGCTGGCTGGTGAACCATTTTAACAAGCACAAACTAAGTGGAAGGGGTGAAGTTACGTAAGAAGCGCATATCAGACACCTTGTTACATTCACCCCTGTATTAAATCTACTGATTCTACATCGATGCAATACTGATCCTGAACTCATATCGAATAAAATCTGCCAATGAGTGAGCTACAATGCCTACCACTGCCGTTCCAACGTTGTCTGGGAACGTAACAGCCATGATGGCGGCCGATGACGTGATAGTAGCCGAGGTTCCCAATCCCTCAAGAAGTCGTATGACGACACTAAAGCCCGTAAAGGTTGCCTCTGTGGGCATGTCGACAATAAACCTGAAAAAAGTTTTCAACTTAATACTTAGCCAAACAAAATGTAATTTTACATTTCCTCCATTAATAACTCTAACAATAATAATTTTTCCGTAACCCTTTTTCGCAAGTGGGAGTATTGTTGATTTCCATTTTTCAAGTTTAATTTAAAAACTTAACTACTTTGAAATGCATCTCCAGGCAAACCACCAAGCAAACTAATGTTAAAATTACATTAACTTGCCAAGCCCATGCATAGTATCTTGATCACTGCATTTGCGTTTTCATGAAGAGACGTAATGTCGGTATGCCTGTCCCTTAACCACGTGCAAAACGTAGTGCCTGGAAAGGCATAGAAGTACGTTAACTATTTTTTTCACACACGTACGCGCATCTTTGATGCATTCACAGCCGGGTGCCCAAAACATTGGTGCCGTTTCCTTATTGAAACACATTGAAAAGAAGGGCGTTAATTCAGGACAATGTGGATTTTTGTTTGCACAAAGTGATGTGCATCTTTAGTAATTAATTTGGGGCAATTTAACCACTGCGTTCAATAGGTTCACGTAAAAGTTTAGCTTTCAGAGAATGATGTGATCAGTAACAATCCCCACCCTTATTGCATAAGGTTGCAGCAATTTGCACTCTCAAAATTGGAGAAACTTCTCTTGCATTCATTCTGAAAACAGCTTACTCTTTAAAATCAATGTGTTTCTTTGTGTAAACAGCGACAGTAAACTTTCAAAATATGACCCTCATTACACAACGGAACTGCAGGACTACTTACCCAAATAAGACATTACAGCCACCGGTGACAAACGCTCCAGCCAGAAAGACAAACTTAGCTCCGACAGTTGGTATCTACATTGCACAACAATACCATGTACATGTATTAGCAGATACTGTACTAGACATACGACTACAACTGATTTACTAAAAGAATATAGTTTGCAAACAAAAGTTACGTCAAACTTAGCACTGATTTGGTGAACACGTGGCATTAATGTGGCTAATTAAGGCGACGCTCTCATAGACAACTTTCTTTTGCCTAATGGCACCAAAGATTGACATAAGCCATTGATGACCAATGCCAACACAGGATAAAACCTTAATTATCAAAAGAAAAACTGTTCTCAAGATGAAAACCATCTACAATTTTGCCCCAGATTGGCGATCCGATTGCAGCTGAGAAGGCAAAAGCACCAAACACAAGGCCAATTACAGTCTGAGATACGCCTCTTGCTTTTGCCTGCAGGAAAAATCAACAAAAAAGCCCAGTGTTAACAACTTAATGTGTATAAGGTTACAGTTGAATGAACATGTTTGGTAATTTTTTGCACTAGCTGTAAGATGTAGCTCTGCATTAGTTAAAAGCCAAATTCAGTTGGTCCATTTTGTTCAAGGGGATGTATCTCCGTTCACTATAGTAAACTTACCTCAATGGGGTAGAAGACAGATATTATAGCGAAGGCCATCATGTTTGCCAACGCAGCCAGCGATGCACCAGCAAACGTGGCTTTCTGGTGGAATGTGTACTTTGTCCGCTCTGGCTTGTCTTCATTCTTGTTATTAGAGCTGTCACTGAGTCTGTCTGGGCCCTCCCAATTGGTCGAGGAAGTGGGCAGGGCTTCAATGGGAGGAAAATCTGGTCCTGTATTTGCGTATTCTTGCCTTGTGTCATCGTCATCTTTGTCCTCCTTATGCTGTTCCATAATATTGTTACATGGCTGACAATTCACAAATTGCTAAACAATAAAAGAGACAGACACCAATTAACTATTTAAATATGCCTATATAAAGATAAACCGACATGTCGTTGTGAAATTGTTTCCAAGGGGAAGGTCAGTTTCTAAGTCAGGAAAATACATTTAAGACAATTATATATACACGTATATGTAAAAATACATGTATGTACAAATAGCTTCCAGTGGCTTCGCGTATTTCTAATATTGCTACAGCTTCGTTCATCCATCCAAGCAGTTAAAAACCGCTTGAGAGAAGGCTTAACAGTGAGATTTTTCAGAACGTATAAGTCTTTTGCCGCGTTTTATTTAGTTACGATGTCAAATGATATGGAGGTAGTCAGTAGACTGGACCTTGTGTAATGAGACGCAGATCCACGGATATACTTACAGAATTGCAAGTAATTAATCCGTGTGACTTGCGGCCCTACGGTCCGGCAGTGGCTTCGTAACGTTATGGATTTTGGAATGCAGCTCTGATGTCAAATCAGGGTATATTTACGTTAAAAAAAAACACACATTCTCCACCAAATCCTCCCCAAAGCCGTCAAAACTGATGCATATCTCTTTAAATCTTCTGACTGTGGTTTTAAGACTATAAGACTATTTCTTTAAAAAAATCGAACTTTTACTCATTACCCTGTCATTCTCCTGATGAAAAAACCCAAACGCATCGCACATTTTGCGTGCATCACACAGTGCATGTAGGAAGTTAGCTTGAACAAAAAATGCATGGCACGTGACGTCACACCTAAATTCCCCCAAATCCAAGTCGTCTGTAGTGCTTGAAATCTCCACAAAGAACTTTGCGCAATACAGCAAAGGGTCCGATCAGAAGGCATCGAAGTACCATGTGACCAATTAGTTTCACCGAGATCAAACACTGTTATCGTAAGCAAGCATTTGGTTAGTAGACACTTCATAAGGCTCATTTTTGTATGACGTAATGACGTAATTATTAACGGAAATGATGGTCACTAGGATACAGCTGCGACATGGGTTGCTCTCGTTTTGCGAATTCGGTACACTATCGGACGCAAGCTCCGCGTTTTCTTCACTATCGAAAGTTACAAAGCTTCCGAGACGTGTCAATGTCAATATTCTGTGCGACACAGCACAGTCCGATCACATGGTAACTTCCAAGGGCCAGTCCCATGTAAAGACCCCGCATTGCGAAAAAGCTATTCGGGTGTTTTCGTCAAAAGAATGGCTGAGAGGGAGGATTCAAACACCCATAGCGTCACCGTACCCATAAGAAGTAGTAGGGTTGCAATTCACAAGGTGTAGTGAGTGATTTACAGGGCTGTAAATACATGTAGTGGACTTGGAGAAGCCGACCACACAGGCTAGGCCAAGGCCTGGTAGTGGTAGTCGTGCATTCAGGCTTCGTTGCGCGTTCGGCACACCTTGACCTACGCAACGTCGTGAAGCTTATTTCCCCCCGTAAATGCTGCACATGTCATGAAGTACTTACATTTTATTGGATTTGAACTACACAAAAGGCAAGCCCATTTCAGTCTTTGTATGGCTCTAGTAACAATTCTCACCACTAAATCAGTTGACGTAGACTGCAACGACGCGGTAGAAAGCACATGTGCAAAGGTCACCTGCTGACTTCAGTGCGCCCTCAATAAAAAAAATTCTAATAGTACTAGACTGGTTCCCTGCCCCTACTATATTTCTGTTATTTCTTTGGGATAGAGAGATTTTGTCGGGATCTGCACAGTGGAGTCACGGTGAATTGATGCAGAAAATGGGGATGAGGGTGGGGTGGATGAGGGAGAAAGAATTGTTGGGCTATGGAAAGTTGCCAAGCTGCGGGGGGGGGGTAGTACTGAAACCCTATGACACAGTATAGGGGCCGATCGATGTTCATCACGTAAGCCTACATTCGGATTATTCATGAGGAATCTTACATCAGCACCTTTTGGACTGTGTTTGGTTGTTCCTGTTTTCTGATACGAGTGATATACATGGTGTCCCAGAAAAAAACCAAACCCTGAGGAAAGGGGCTAATATGCCCAAACCATGAGATATGATTATAATGCATAAGAATCTCCGAAAAGTAGAAGCAGTATTCTTTCTAATAATACCTTGATGGTATCCCTCTTGTCTTGCATGACTGAACACCATTGTCTTGAAAATGGGGCATCTGAACTCAGTTGTAACACTTTGGAT